ACCTTTATCAAAGTAGAAGGTATCATTCATATAAGGATTAATAAAAAGGGTGCCATTCCTCCCTGACCTTGTCTGGCCCTGTCTGAGCCATTCCGCTCAGGTTTAGTGTTACCAGTCTGAGAACTTCGTGTAAAACGGTGAGCTGATGGACATGCTCTGGTTTTGCGTGTAATAACCAACAGGTACATGCCAAATCAAAGCTTTCATGTCAGTCAGAAGTTGCGGCGCCGATGCCACTTGCCTCACAACTGGAGGTCCACTGACACCAAGGCCCGCACAAGAGGAGAGGAGCCCCACTGAGCGAAGACTGGGCTCCCAGCCACACTCAGCCAGGGGTCGAAACATGTCGAATCACCTTATCTGCTCAGACACTCAGCGAGCAGAGAGGACCGCTCCAGTGAAGGCACGTATCTATTGACCAACAAGTTAGCACAAACTGAGACAGCGGTCAGGGGGGGGGGGGGGGGGGGGGGGGGGGGGGGGGGGGGGGGGGGGGGGGGGGGGGGGGGGTGGGGGGGGGGGGGGGGGGGGGGGGGGGGGGGGGGGGGGGGGGGGGGGGGGGGGGGGGGGGGGGGGGGGGGGGGGGGGGTGGGGGGGGGGGGGGGGGGGGGGGGGGGGGGGGGGGGGGGGGGGGGGGGGGGGGGGGGGGGGGGGGGGGGGGGGGGGGGGGGAGGGGGGGGGGGGGGGGGGGGGGGGCGGGGGGGGGGGGGGGGGGGGGGGGGGGGCGGCCCGAGGGGGGGGGGGGGGGAGGGGGGGGGGGGGGGTGGGGGGGGGGGGGGGGGGGGGGGGGGGGGGGGGGGGGGGGGGGGGGGGGGGGGGGGGGGGGGGGGGGGGGGGGGGGGGGGGGGGGGGGGGGGGGGGAGGGGGGGGGGGGGGGGGGGGGGGGGGGGGGGGGGGGGGGGGGGGGGGGGGGGGGGGGGGGGGGGGGGGGGGGGGGGGGGGGGGGGGGGGAGAGGGGGGGGGGGGGGGGGGGGTGGGGGGGGGGGTGGGGGGGGGGGGGGGGGGGGGGGGGTGGGGGGGGGGGGGGGGGGGGGGGGGGGGGGGGGGGGGGGGGGGGGGGGGGGGGGGGGGGGGGGGGGGGGGGGGACGGCTGGAATGACAACAGGGGGCACACAAGAAGGGAGGTCACAAAAATATCAGATTTTATACTCAAAGAAACAAACATCCCAGGAGTGTATGTTGTCTAGAGAGTAATTTCACCAAACTATTAGCAATCCAATTTGAAGCAATGTGGTTGAAATGAGGCATTTTGATCTTCCTTAGGGCTCTTGTGTATTATCACTGATAAATCTTCCCATTCCTGGAAAAAGTAATCTCCTGAACACAGTGGGGATAGTGATGTGTTAAAGCTAAAATAGGCCACCGCTCAGATATGTGTTTACACGCACATTTGAAAAGACAGATATGCAAACAAGAGATTTGTGAGACTTCGACAAGTCTCTGAACATCTGGTAATTACAAATTCAGCAGGTTCCCCACAGTGAGCTAAAATCCAGACAACTTCTTACGTTGCCTGGCAATAGAGATTGGGCTTATTCCTAAGCCTCACCTAGTGTGAGTTCTCACACAGAGCTGGAAGACGCAGAGCAGTGTTGTCGTCAGTGCTGAAGCCCCAGGGAGGTGAAGACATCCCACCGCAAAGGGCCACCCTACCGACTCACCCATCTTTTAATTTCTCTCTCTGGATGTGATGGCACGGCGGGTAGCTGCTCTACCGTTCTGTCAGTGGAGGGTTAGATCTGCAGCTCATTTCACGTGTGGCTGGGTGCGAATTAGCATTTTCTCTGCCTAGGCTCCTCACCAAGCCTTGCCCTCAGCTACATTCTCCACCAATGCACAGCTCACACCAACACTGGCAGCACTCAGGCATGCTAATGCACATGCTAGTATTCAAGCTAAAATATCATTCAACCTAATGAACCTTCATTGATTTTTTTTAAACCATTTTTCTGCAGTAGTATTGACCAACTACAGCTGCTATTATAATTATTTGGGAGACAGCTGCTGTTACAAAACACATGTAAAGATGTGCATAGGCTTTAGTTGTTTCCAATGTAGTATTCCTGCTCTCAGGGAAATGGTCATAGAGCTGGCCGTGACCTGCATCTACCATACGGTGTTATCACCTGTAGGTTTGTAGCAAATTGGCGTCGAATGGCAGCATATGGCACCACCAAACCTCTGCCAATGTGTTAGTCAGGGCTCCCTGCTTCAGTGCCTCATTTCGTTTGTTTTAATAATATAATAGATGTTTTGTGATGCAGTTTGTGCAAAGGAAAAAAGGCATTCTGATTGTTGTTGTGCTGTATTTCTCAATAAAACGGCTACGAATAAAAAATAGCTTCTCCACCCACAGACATACTGTCAATCCCGCTCGAAGAAACACAGGAAAAGCCAAACGGAGTGTTAAACCTGATTAGAGAGAGCGTAGACAAACACACTCAGTCTAAAGTTTCTTCTCACCTTCTCCACGTCATGCAGCTCACTGGCACAGAAACACACTGGTGTCCTGACACTCAGCCTTCACCTGAGTGACAGGTGCAGCCAAAAGGAAAGCCCGCAGATACCATTCACAGCTTCAGCATGATAGCATCAGCGCTTCATCCTACAGCCATCTATAGAAATCTGACACTATCTGTACCCTCAGGGGCATTACATTTCACACTTTAGTGCATAACTGCAGACACAATAGCGGATTATTACAATGTCATTAAAGCTTACATTGCAAGTTTAAAGCTTAACTCAAACTCTCTGACCTTTGATAGTTCTTCTGCATCAAATGTTGTTTTTTGGCTTGTCAAATTTCCACTTTGAAAATTAGCTACAAAAACAGTTGGTTTCCAAGAGGGACTTGTCCTGCTACAAGCTCATCCTTTCCTTATCCTATCCCTAACCCTGACCTTAACCAAAATTGCTATTTCTTACCATAGAACCTTCCCCATAACTCGAACCATAAACAGAATGTGACTCTTAATTGCAGATTTTTAAACATTCAATATAATATTTACATGAGCCTGGGACTAAGAGTTAAGTGAGTCCTGTTTCTGAGTATGTTAGTTGTTGTTAAGTTAGTTCCAAGTTAATCTAACAACATCAAACAGAACATTTTCCTAAACTGAAAATGATAGTTCAGTTAAATGTCTTTTAAAGTATAAAACAGCTTTCCTCCATTTTCAGTGACAGACACCCCACTATGAAAAAATTCAATATTTAATCGGACACCCACGAGTCGTTCCTATCTGCGCTCACAGAAGGCCATGCATTTCACATTTTGGTGAATAATTGCAGATATAATGGGGATTATTACAGTGTCATTAGGTCCAACGAGTACTGTTAGGTGAATCTTAATGAGGCAAAGACTGAGTATATGCTTTTATCTTTCTCCCACACACTGAGGGGGGCTCTCACGGGACACTCTGTATGGTATAAGCTTACCGCATCGCTATTCCTGCTTTCCCCGGCTTACACATTTCAGTCCGGCTTCTCTGGTTCTATTTATCGTCACTTTTATTGCAGACGGTTTGTCCTTTTGCACCGGTGCTTTTTGAATTGGTAATGACAATCTCTGTAGAGCCTCTCCTGGTTTGTGTGTGTTCGTGTGTTTTTGTGGTGCCGATGACGGATGCTCTCTTCACAAGCGAGCCGCATGCAGTCTTTGAAGCTAGAGTTAAAGCGGCTTTTTTGCCCCGTTTCTATCAATCATTCATCACCGGAGGCACTGGCTGTTGGTGATTAAAGCTTCACGACTGGAGGGCCAGCATTTGAATATGGATATATAATTCATGGGCATTGGCAGCACACAAACATGTATAATGTGCATGTGTGTACAAAGACTGAATCAAGCCAAGCCCACAGTGGGTACTGTAGTTCTAACCTACTGCCACAACTCACCAGCAGCTGGAAGTATGGCATTTGTCAAAGTCATCTCACATAAAACACAAAATAACTATGCTTATAGCAGTCTAATCGTTCATATTTGCCCTGTAATTCTTTGTGTCTTTGTTGCATTCACACTGCTTTGTCTTTACTTATTGTGTCTATCTTAGGGTTATGTATGAGGTTGTGAAAAGAAGCACTTATTTGTCTCGAAGGTGAAATGTAATTACTGTATTTTTCTTTCTTCCCCTAAAGTTTGAATTCATTCCTCGGTTCCAAAAGTAAACAGAGACAAGTAGCTGGCTGATTGGATGATATAGTTCAACGCCATTAGCTTTTGCCCTGAAATGCGCTAGTCGTCAAAAGAACAACTTCAAACTTTGGGTTTCACTAAGAGATGTATGCACAGCTCATGTACACACTCACTAATTATGTGAACAAATAATCAAAGTAAAATGTATTGCTGTATGACAGAATGGGGTAACTGTCAGGGTTTTACTGTAGTATGTACAGTAATTTCTGTTAATACGTGTTTTAATCAGCTTCTATTTACAATTGAGTCTTATTAGCCTATTATCTTCTATAAAAGCGTGTATTAAATTGAAGAAAATGTGAGGAGAATAGAAATGGTACCCTTTATCTAGAGGAAAAAGCGTTCTTAGGATTATTCTGTGTTGATTTTCTTAAGACACAAAAAACATATTTCATGGACCTAAATCGTTCATTCATAAAGGTTAATTTTGTCTTGCATAGTTTACATGTTTTTTGTGGTTCTTGTTAGAGAATTACTTTGTTAATCAGGGCTAATATATTGAACCTAATTCTCACAATGAACAGATTTTTCAGGGGTACATTTACATTATTGTTCCTACTTGATTCATACCAACAAGAGTTATACCACTGCAAACCAGGATTTCAACTAAATTACCTAAGAACTAAGAATTAAGCGTCTTTAAATGGTACTAGTATGAACTCGGATCAAACCAGAACAAGAACACATATCCCGCCAGCACTACAGGTCATCTCTACATTTTACCATGGTCTCCCTACCATCAGAGCACCTTTTACACATTTCAGCTCAAACTGTCTACTCGATTTGTGCAATCCTACCTACAGATAAATAGACACACACACACACACAAACACATACACATACTCATACACATACACACATACACATAAACATACATACACATATAGGATACACGTAGCCGTTTACAATACCCTCCATGTTGGCAGGGTAAATAAAAAAACAGCCCAAGTGAAAAATTATGAAGCAAATAGGCTGAAGGTTTGGTATTAATTTAGGTTTTAAGGCTTTTCCATTGATATCTTCTAAGCCTTCCAGATACAATATATTTTTGAGAAATTTAGACCTTTTTAGTCCCTCAAGTATTTATTTGGTAGACTACTTGCGTCTGAGTTGTACCCCAGGCCACAAGTGTATGACAGTAGGTCTGATTCCATAACATGAGTTTGTATATTGTCATTGCATTGATGTGTTTTATTTGAGAAATCATCAGTTATAAATAAACATCTCCATCCTTGTTTCAACCATTCATCCATTGCTTCCTTGCATTTTCCCTCCCCCAGAGTCCATCTCCGACCCAGGCGAGCAACCCACCCCAAACCCTCCCGCCACCACCCTCAGCTCACCCACCACCTTCGCCACCATCTCTCCCAACCTGGTCTACGGCATCCCACCGCCAAGGACCGAGGACATGGACCCCACCACCGCCAACCCGCCAAGCTCATTACCCACAAACCCCGCTTCCACCCACACGCACCCACAGCTCGAGCCCACCAGCCCGCCGCCCGTGTCCCCGACCCGCCACAGCTCCGAGCCTGCAGCGGTCACTTTCGACGGGTCAGGCAGCGGAGAGCCCAGCGGAGACGACCAGGCTGAGGATGAGGAGGAGGGCGAGCCTGGCAGCGGGGTCCCGACAGAGGCCAGTGGGGGAGAGGAGCCTGGTAAAGCTGCTTTTCACTTCATTGCCCATAATGCTCTTTTTTTACAGGCGCTCATTAACACATCCATGGCTTCATGAACCATGCAGCTAAAGTTTTACAACATAAATGAAGTAAAATGGGTATAAATCCAGTGGTCAGATTCCTGATTCTGAAAAATACTTGGCTCAATTGAGAACTTACAACTCACAAGTACAACTATTAAAATGAGTAGTAGTAGTATGAACATATAATACTTATGTAGAGCTTTATAGAACATCCATAGACGCTTCACATGGCATCATTCATTCACTCCATATTGATAATAATAATGATAATAATAATAATATAATAATAATAATAATAATAATAATAATAATAATAATAATAATAATAATACACTACTACTGTAGCCATAGGGCAGACTGATAGGAAAGAGGCACCCCGTATGTAGAGTTTCGTTCGGGCCTGAAAAATCAAGCCCGACCGGCCCGAGCCCGCTTATATAAAGCCCGAGCCCGTATAAGCCCGACCAATAAACGCTGTATAATAGGCCCGAGCCCGACAGAACCCGACACATCTGATTTCCTTGTTGTACGCACTCACCTTTCAATTGCAAGTTTAGTCTCCACTTTTGAATTTGTTTTGTCTCCACTCGATCCATTTCTACTATTGTTCCTGTTCGCTGTTGACCACAGCATGCAGCAGAAGACACAGGGATGATGCGTTCACGGCTCGCTGCTGCTGTACACGCTGGTTACGGTGTCATTAATATATTAACTTTTTTTAATAACTTGTTGTCAATCAACGGACATTGTTATTAATATATATCATTCATTTTTAAATGATATGCATATACACTATATATATATAGTATACACTATATATATATAGTGTATACTATATATATATATATAGTGTATATGCATATCATTTAAAAATGATTATAATAATAATAAAAAAAGAAACATATAGTTAAAAAAAGCGAAACTCTACCGGTATGTGCCACTGTAGGCAATATGGGTGAAGTGTCTTGCCCACAATGACAGTTTGGCACTTTACAGCTGCAGCCGTCCCACTGTGCCACCTGGTGTTCTCAGTACCCTGCTTAGCTCCCGGGAGACTTTGAAGATTTTCGGTTTTTCCAATATGTCGGACAATATAGATAACTTTTACTGGAAGTGATATGAAATTAATTTTTCCAAATAGAAACTTCATCCGTCATGTAGAAACTCCACGACTGAAGCATCAGTGGGAAGTCCAACCTGGGCTTTCAGCGCACGCTATTTTATGAAAGAATCTCCTATAAACACTCTGGTCTTGTTTGACGAGCACGTACAACAACCTCTAGTCACATACCAGAATGATTGACAATTAGGAGGACCCATAGTCTTGATGATCCACCCAGAAAGAGAAAATCTCCCTATACCTTCAAACTATACTCACAATAAAAATCAGTTTTGGGTTGCAATGACAATCGCATAAATCTGAAAACTTAGTTTTGTTACATGTAATCAATGAAAAAATCAGCTGATGCATTGCCTGATTTTGTGAAGAGATCATGTGCTCTTCATCTCAAAATGATCAGAGAAACCAGAAGTGCTTGGCTAATGTGGCTAACTCCTACACTGATTGTGGAAAGCGCTTTTAAACTAGTGAATAATTAAGATGCGGGGAATGGATGACAAAGTGAGCTTGCACTTCGCTGAAAATTGTCGTGGGAATTCACATAATGATTTTAGGACTGTTAAAAACTGGCCTTTCTTCTTCTCCTCTTGTCATTGCTGTGGAGGTGGGTATTCAGGAGCATACACTGTTTAAATAAAGTCACGTTTCATGAAACGACATACTTGGAACTCAAATGGTGCATCTTAAATCAGTGAATAATAGTAGTAAATTATAAAATATGATGAAATGGTCATACAAAATGACATTATATTTAATGTGCAAATTTGTATTTAGTGAATGACTTTTTGCCACCTGCAAAACAAACTGTCAGCCTCGTTCTTGGCACCTTGAACAGATGCACATGGAGTGTTGTTGGAGCAAAGTTTTTCATTCCCTTTTACTCATGGACAGGTCAAAAGTGTAAAAAGTGTTGGTTTTGTGATCAGTCTTCACACTGTTAAATAGACTATTTAATGTGACACCTGCCAGCTGGACAGGGCACAGGTCATATTCTCAATATGGGATGCTGTTAGATTCTCAGATACGATCATGACCTTGAGGAAAAGTATCACAGGAGGAATTATAAGCAACAGAACTGGCACCAAATACTGAACGTGATCCTGCATACATGCTACGGGGTTCTTTCATTTTACTCGAAGATTGTTCCTTTTGAAATTATAAGATTCTTGCTTTTTTAATTGAATGGAATTGTACATTGATCTTAATGAGTTTACAAAGATTATGAACACATTTGAGTTTCACTACAGCAGCTTAAGTCATGTAATGTCTGCAGCGCAATAAACACATCCAGTTTTCTGCTGTTTCTCTGTGCTCTTCAATGCACATGCTGGCCTCGTCTCAGTAGTATTGACTTTATGTGGTTACATTCCTGCGTAAATGGAGTAGAAATGGTTCCAACCAGTTTCTAGCCGGACTAACACCAGACTGAATATTACAAGTGAATATGTAGTTTGTGACCCCTCTGTTCATTTTCTCTTAAGAGAGGTGAGCTTTGAGCTTTTGAGACAGCTATGATTGTCCATAGCTGTTTATTGGGCGCTTCAAACGTCATATGCGTCTGCGGCAATTCTATCCGATACCATATGATGATTGGTCCCCAAGTTTAGGCAGTTCGCACACAGCAGCATGGATATTCCCAGGCTAACCTGTTATGCCAAATGGACTGGTTTTTCACACCTCAAACAGAGCGCAGAGGTATACATGCGTCTTCCACGATCAAATTAAATTATACTAGGCTTTTACAAACATACTCAGCAATACCTTTTTATTGTGTTTGTTAAGATTTAGATATCCTTTATTTGTCTCACAGTAAATTTCAGGCAGTGTATCAACATGTTGTAGGGTTTCTTCAAATCTATAAGCTCCCTATACCCTATGAATGACGATTTGAGTTTAAGGGGACGTTTTGGTAAATTTGCCTATAGCCACTTGAGGGAAAGGACATGACTCTATTGAGATATACACATCACCATGCCACTTCTCAGAGCCCTCCGTCTCCACCACGGACAAACAGAGCCAGCCAGTGTAAAATCCACTGCACAGTCCACATGAAACCGCTGGGCCGCATCTGCTGCTCTCTGGAGCCTAACTGTCAGACCCAGAGTCCAGGGAGAGAGGTGTGACTGAAATCTCTCTCGACATGCCCTCCTGACTCAAACAACATCAAAACAAACAGACTTTTCAATCAATCTCTTTTTATACAGTATTATAGTATTATTCTTGTTTTTTTGTTTTCTATGTGGCCCAGTCTGACAGCTCACAGTAACCGGATGGGATTGATGTAACCATATCGCCCTGATGTGTTCGTCCTCTGTTCGTGATGTCGCCCATTCCTCTCTCTCTCTCTCTCTCTCTCATCTCTTTTTTTTCCCTTTCTGTGTGTCCATTGTGTGTGAGTGCGCGCTGCAGATTTATGCTGCTGTCAACCGCTGACCAGAGGCTCAGACGTGAGGAGCATGTTGTCTGTCAGCCGGACCTGTTTCCATGACTGAGTGAACATGTATGTGCAAGTAAATGAAGGGATGGCAGGCACAAGAGAACATTCGTGCACTTGAAAACGCGTAGATTTAGACGTATTATACACATTCTCTTTGTTCCCTTATCAAAGACATACCTGTGGTTATTTTTAGCTCCAACCGTGCTAATATAGGTGATAGGAAATGGCACAAATCAGCACAAACACGTCCCTCAGCATCAAAGACTTCTTTATAAAACTTGATTTGAATATCTAGCGTAGAACCTCATCGACAGAGCCAATTTCTGTCCTTTAAAACATAAAAATACATTGCTTGTCTATTAGCTTTGTACATTTCCCTAAATTAAATTAGGCAGCTCCATTTTAGATGTTTAGTAAAGAAGGGAATGTAAGGTGATTTCTTTATCCATTAGTTAATAGGAATAATAAGTTAAATATGTTTAATGGTTGTTTGACCATTAGTGATTAACAAAATGAGGTTTAGACTGATGTTTAATTGCCTAAATCAGTCTTACATTTTGTTGCAAATCTGAAAGATATCAAAACTCCAAACTCAATCTTCAAAGATAAGTGACCAAAATAATACAAGTTACATTTATGTAAGTAAATACATACAATTTTGCCAATTCCCATGTTTTCTACAAAATCTATCAATCATACAAATTTCCAACTTCCATGTACACTTGTATGTTGGCTGAACGTATTTCTCATTCATGCCTGTCCTTTTTGTAGAAATCTTGTTGGACTTAATTGACGTGTAAATCCAACACTTTATTTTCTATAGTGCATTCTCAAACGTGAAATGATATGTTTCAAGGACAATATTAACCAAAAAGAGCATAACATTTGTTCTTTAAGCTTTCCTTTGCAGTAGCCAATAATGAAAAAATGACTACTCAATGTAAAAAACAAAGAAGTAGATAATTCTCTCTCTTTAGATAAGCTTGAACAAACTACTTTGTGGGTTTTGAATGGGTTTACTATTCAAATACTTTAGACTGGAGAATAACTGCGTATTGCTCCAATCCACAGTGCAAACATCACTGTCTGAGCAGGCAATATATCTGTCCACATTGTAAACTGTGCTCCCGTATGCCCGCGTATTTATTTGACAGCCTTCACTGCTCCCCGTGGACCCCCTTTCCTCCGCAGCCCCTGTGTGTAAATCTCAAACCCGCACATGCATTCGCACCATAAAGCCTGAACCTCTCCTCTTCCCCTTGCCGTGACCGCGCAAAGTCCTTGAGCAGGACGTCCCTCGCCTCCGACGTCTTTACGACTTGTTTAGCCGCGAGCTGTTTGCCTCGGCGATCATTTCTAATCTCGCCGCGGCCGTAAAGTGTGGCGCTCTGACCACCGTCGGCGTCATTAGAGAGGACTGTGCTGATAGAAGCGCTCATTTTTCACCCACAGAAAGACCAGTCACTTTTATGTCTTTTATATCCCAAGATAGAGAGATATACAGTGAACCTGGGCAAACAGAAGCAAGCAAGTGTGTTTGTCGCCCGGGAAGCCTTGGAGGTAACTGTCGGGCCAATCAGCACTAAGCTCTTATCGCTACCCCTTATCATTTAAAGTGCTTTGTATGTGACGCGACTGGTAACACTGGCTATTATCTCTGTCTGCAGCTGACAGAATGGGTTCCAGGTGTTAAAGGAAAATGCCATGTAATTACTCCAAACAGATGTAACAAGTCTCACAATGCCAGAGTTGGAAAGCTCGTGGGTTGATAATCAAAAGTGAATTTTCAAAATGCACATTGTATAATAACTTTTTTGAATGCAACATACAGTCAGGTTCATGAATACTGGAACTTTGTTCTGAATACTGGAACTCTGTTGACGTTCAGAACTTTTTGGCTCCGTAATGGAAATCTTAGCTCAATTTTAGTATTGCTGCAGACTTTCAGTTCAAAATGTAGGGTATTACATTATAATCAAGTGAATAAGTGTCAAAAGTTTCTATAAGTGCCAAAACTATGTAGTTCTAATGTGTCTTGTTCAATGAGAAAGAAAGAAATTGAAAGAATACACTTGATTTTTTGTGGATCATTATTTGTATGCTAAAAGCACAGCCCAATGAAATGTTTTCATTAGTCAAATAGGTGAAAATCGGTTTGAAGTTGGAGTACTTAACTTTGAAACCAAACAACACAACTTAAACCTTACTACAATCAAAATGTTGTTTCCTGCATGCCTTCCCTATCAATGTCTATATCACTACAGTACTACTTCTTGCTGTACTTGTCAATTCAAAAGTGTACTTCAGAAGAGTAGACAAAGTATAGTCACAATACTGTAGTCTATTCTCCAAAACTCTAACAAAAAATCCTTCTTCTAAAAGGAAGAGACACTGCAAACAAGAAGTTGCTATAGGTTAATCTGGGTGACCCCCGAATCTCCACTCCCTTCGTCACAGCTCAAGAAGTCTCTAAATGGAACCCTCTTCTGCGCCCATGAGATAAGCCGAGATGACTTTGAATATTTTTGAGCTTCATGAATAATTCTGGGCCCCTCTGTGCCGTCCCCAGGTCCCACTGTGGCCAGCACCACAGTTCCCACAGCAGAAGACAGATCCTCTTGCGACAACGCTGAATTTGGCTGTTGTCCCGATGGAATCACGGCGGCCGGTAACGCAGAAGGCTCCAACTGCCCCTGTAAGTGAAGTCACTCTCTGCTCTCCTCCAGTTTTCACTTTATAGCTCATAAAACTCTATTGCATCCTTCTGTCAGACACAAGCGGCTTATTCCACTGCAAATAATGCGCACTGTACATTTCGGGACCGAGGTCTGTTTCCCATCTGTACATCCAGATCAAGCACACTGTGCGCAAAGACTATAAAGTTTGTTCCACAAATACAAAGTTTAATCATCGACTGTGTGTAAAACAGCTCGCATTGTTCCAGTAAAACTCCAAAATGAAACCCTTACTGAACCGATAGCAAGACTGTTTCACCCAGAGTAACTTCCACCATATTGCACATTCTTAGGGGGCCACTTTAAGAGAAATGATGCATTTAACTGAATTCAATCAGCAGACCTGCAGTATGTGGAAGCTTAAATCAGTTCTTAATGTCCTGCCAACACACTAAGAGGAGCAGGTGGTGTCTTATCACTCAAATACATTTAAGAGTATGTAATGTTTTCCTATCAAATTTAGACCAAATCATATGTACATACAGCTTTAAAGTTGTAAAAAGCAGAAAAAGCAGTGGTTGTGTAACAATCATACTATCCAGTGTGTGTAAGAGTGGGCGGAATGATGTCTGAACTTCACGGTTCCATCTACAGTTTCGAAATAACTTATCCTGTAGTATCCTAGAGACTACACTCAGTACACAGGGTTCAAAGAATTTGAAAAAAGTAGTAGGTTATACGGCATTTATATGGTTATTCTGAGTGAGTTTTTTTAAGTTGATATTGTGACATGTCTCAGACTTGCCACTGAATTGTGCTTTAAAAATCCTGTAGCTGGCGTCATGTTGAGTTGCACGGCTCAACTGTGCTTTTTAGTTTCAAGGGAGAAAAAAACATGTAAAAAGAATGTACATTACAGTTTCACCTTCATTTCCAGACGCTCACTGTACTGTACATCCCTGTGTTATCCTTCAGAGCCTCAGATTTCCCCATGAACTGAACCTCATTGCTCTCCTCTGCCTACACACACACAGACAATCTCAAACCTGTCTTGTCTTGCATCAGTTCACTTGAAGCAGTGGGGACGTGGGGGATGTGGGGGGGGACCTGGCATGCGACCGGGGCAGACCGGAGTCGTGTTCCAATCAGAGCCTTGTGTCTGTCACTTTCTCCAGATAAAAGCCCCTCCTGCCCACTCACTGCTGGGCTTTTGGTTCGCTTTGTGTCTCAGGTGTGTGTGTGTGTGTGTGTGTGTGTGTGTGTGTGCCACAGGTCATCACGCAGAATAAGCTCGCGGATCACGTTACAAGTTCTAACAAACCATTTGGTGTCGGGCGCAGATTTAACAAGTGTGCAGGTTGACATGGGCTGTATTTGCTCAGGTGTCAGCAGGAGGAAGCAATGAAAGAAAGGCTATATGTCACGCGGAGCTATTTTTGAGTTGGACAATTAGTGCTGTCAAACTGTGAGTGGATGTGGCGAAGACCTACACGGACTAATATAAAGAATTTGTCATATGTAGACTTTAATAGAAAATAGTCCTCTGATATGATTCATCAGGGCCTATAGTGACCTGTCGGTAACAATGTCGAGACTGCAAGATCATTAGCTGCTACTTTTGACAGGGAGAACAAGCAACATCCAAATCTAAACCAAAACCTGTGAGGGACATCTCTCAGATAGAGTTTTAATGTTTAGTACACTCTATCTCAAATTATTTCTACCGACAGTTACCTGAGGTGATTTTAACTGGTTATAATGTACACAAAAGATTGTCAAAATTGCCATATTTAAGACTTTACCATTGATTGTATATAGATGGACATGGAAAACCTACCATATCTATGAAGCTAAGTAGGGAAGTGCTCATGATTAAGTTTTGAACTCCTCAAGCTCTGTATCCTTTTGTGTCACACTCACTATTTTGCAATAACAAAAATGTGGTTTAACACTCTTTATGAACTGGTGTTTATACTGTGATGTTCTCTTTGTAAATAAACAATAACCAATGGTGAATATCTCCTTAAGTATCCATCTATCCATGACTATTGACCAGCTTATGACAATTTAGGTTTTGGTTAGCAAGTAGTGCGATTGGGAACAGACCAGTACTCTTTGGCTGCCAGGTTGTTTGACTACATACTCATGCACATAGAGCCTGTTCTAGCTAGCTCTAATTGGCTTTTCCCACTATTCACTGTGGCAAACACTGTGGGTGTTGTCAGAGCTCAAGTTAGTTCGCTACAGCCTGGATTCTCAAAATTCCATCATAGGTCACCTAGAATAGATAACAAGCAGTAATAAAAAACAAGAAGGCATTCATTAAAAAGCCATTCTAAAAGTATTAGTCTGCTATACAAATAATCAAAGCACTGTGAGCTCTATTGGTTGCGAGTGGATTTGATGACACTCTGTGCCTCTGTAATCACTTGGAACAAGTTTAATCTGCAGGACAACAGTTATAACAAATGTGCTAGGGCCTGTAAATATTTATCTCTGCACACATTGTCGGCATACAGGCGATCGATACCTCATTCAGCTGAAGTGTTACCAATAAAAGCAGCTGCACAATAGCAGGGTCGATATTCTGGATCTCTTTTCTCCCGAGGAGGGCTTAGCCAATGTAGCGCTCATTAGAAGTGAAATGACACGTCCCTAGAACCAGAGCGTCCGTCCGCCGCCACGTTATTGACGCGCTCTGATTGTTCACCATCCGTGAGTTTTATTGAGATGTGAAAGGTTGTGGCTCAAGGCTGAGTTGGATCCACACACAATCTCCCTCTGGAGTGAATCTCTCAAAATTATGTATTCTGTTCTGGCACAGAAACTCAGCCGTTAAACCTTTAGACAACAATTATTTAAGAACTTTGACCAAACAGACAAAAGGTGGAGCCCTGCAACTTTATAGAGATAGAGGCAAGCTTCTCACATAATTACAATATCGACTTATTGTTCCAACATTGACAGATAAAAATATACATTTTGGGTCTCAATATATGTCACTTGTGCATTTTATTTGTAAAATAAGCATTTTTTTATTCTAGATCCTGATGATTCAATGACTTTTCCTGCTGTTAATTTGCGTCATTGAGATCATTTTGTAGCACTACTTGCATCCGTGGCATAAAATAATTGCAACATTATCTGCTGCAAGAAGATACTATATCATCCATCAAAATCATGACAGGTCTAAATTGGGGACAAAGACCAAGAAACATTTAGAGAAAGCTTTGAGGGAAGCCAGTTGGCTGTGTAGAAAGTACTGGATTTAGAAGCTTATTTAGCGACTCTGATACTTTGGTGCCGAAAGGGTTAACTCCAAAGTTGTGCGTTAACTTTGTAAGTAACTTTTGTAGCATCGTTATGTGTACAACTTGTTAAACTTGCTTTGCCACAAACAAGACTCTATACTTGAAATATTTTACTTGGCACAGTTAAAACACTAGACCCCCTCATTGTATAATTTGTACCAACACAACCAGATGCTCGGCAGTTATTTTATGCAAGTCTTGATGAAAACTGTGGAGCGGAGCATTTTTCCTTATGTTACGCTTTAACTAGTGCTGCTATTTTGCCATTCAACATAATGTGGAACAAACACTCATATAAGGTTAATAGCTCAGTGCAGCGCTACTGTAAACTTGCCCATGTGCAGCTGGAAGTCTGACAAATCCATTACTTTTTACAGTCGATAGCATCTCGGCATCTCTCCATCCTCCTTTTTATCGCCGTCTCTCTTTTCTCTCTACGTCCGTCACGGCACTGGGCTGGAAAATCAGCTGCTCTGATGTGTTTCCCTTCTTTTGCAGATCAAACGCACGATTTGCCCACTCTCGTCCCTTTATCATGCCAGATCTCTCCCATTTGCCCGTGTTTTATGGCCACACATCTCAATACGCGTGCGCTATCCCGTCAAAAGAACCTACGTGTGCTCCATCCGTTTTCATGCAACTTTAACCAGGCTGTGTCAGTCATAGGCCAGCGACATTAAGGAGACAATTACGGCTATCTCTCACGATAATCATACAAGAGCGTCTTCCCGTTCTCTGCGCGTCGCTCTGGCAGGGGCAGACATGATTGATTTGGGCAATTTGTTCAGCTGATTACGAGCTGTGTGGAAGGCCTAGCATCAGCTCCTCACTACAGCAGGCACATACACACTAGCGAAGCAGCCACAGCACAAGTCGTATAAGAGGGGTGATAGATGTTCGACAACATAACCCTCAAGGTCGCTCAGGGAGGCTTAGTCTTTGCCGAAGGAGGCACTTTTGAGATGCCGCCGGCTGGTTTCACTGTCTGTTCTTTCATATTTGTTAGTTCTGTCTAACATCTTGTCTCTCTGCACAGCTTTCCGTTCCCTGAACAACTTTTTGGAAGAGTCTCAGTCTGGTAAAATCTGGCCCAATCACTTCCCTTTGTCCTATCAGCATCGCACCTACTTCCTTGAACTCCCAACGTACTAACCCCTTCTGCTCAAACACACACACTCCATCACTAACTGGCACGGGTCCAAGCAGAGCACCGTGGGAAGGCAGACACAGAGGCAGTTTATAATTGTATATTTTAACATCTTCATCATGGTTTTTTGCAGTCACTACGAAGTTCAGCGGCTTCCTGCATCTGGACCAAGTGGAGGGCCAGGAGGTTTTCTACACTCCCGAAATGGAAGACCCAAAATCAGAGCTGTTTGGAGAGACAGCCCGCAGCATAGAAAACGCTGTGAGTACTTACTCTATGTCTCTTTATCTATTTACACATCTTTAATCCATGAAATACATGCATAATGTGGCTGATGCCTTCAGGTGAATTTGATTTTAGTATCTCTTATTTTGGATTCATTCAGTGGTATCCTTTTCATGGTTAACACAGCCAAAGTTTGTGAGCAAAAGTTTGGAAATGGTGAAAAACTACATGTGTAAAAACTTAACTAAGACATCCATCTATCTATCCATTTTCTATATCTGCTGGGGGAGGCAGTCTGAGAAAATAAGACCAGACTACCTTATCCACACACACTTTTTCCAACTCAACCGACATGTCCTGGATCGTCCACAGAGTCTCCTCCCAGTGGGACATACCCCTGGAGGTATTGAGGAGGCATCCACAACAGATTTGCGAGCCCCCTCAACTGGCTCCTCATCTCTAAAGGAGTGCCTGGCCACATAAGAAATCTCACTTTACCGCTTGTAACCAAAAACAAATCTCACATTGACATCAAGCAATCGCTCAGCCTTCAAAATTAAATGATTGCCTGTTGTATTTGTTTGAATCTAAAGGCCTTGTTTAAACTAAATTATAGTAAAACATTTTCAACAAGTCTGTGATACATTGAATGAGGTAATGCTGGCTGTCTCGCCTGGATCCCTGAGGGCCAGAGATTGAGAACAGCATTAGTTCTGGCAGTCCATTCTTCAAAAAGGCAGTGCCAGATGTTGTGACCCCCGCCCACGCCGCACATCACATGACCGCTCACCACGATCCACCTAATGACGGCCAAACTACAACAATGGCAACAGTTCTTATTGTGGACTGCAAGTTTTCAAGGTTAAGTCCAAAGATAAGGTCTAAAAGAAATCACCATTTAATCAAATACCGTATGTCCAAATACACAGTGCTTCTTACCATGGTGAAAAATGGTGTGACATTGTAGCCTTTTCTCATAACAAGATCCCAATAGTCTCCTGCAGAGCACTGGCTCATTTCTCTGGTCAGAAAGTGATAGAAAAATAACAATGATAAAGATGTTATTTGCAGCCGCGGTCATGGCGCCACATACGCTACCTCATATCAGGACGAGTGAATCATGCTCGCTGAGATTTCCTTCTTAATAATGGAGTAATATTGTGGGCCTGGTAACAGAGGGTGATGTCTTGCCGAATGATAGTGGTTGGAAGGATGCGGCTGTCGAATAATGATAGATCAGATAAATTTGAAGTTCTTCCAATGTGGTTTGTGTTTATTCCTTGTAATTTAACTGAAAATAAGAGGCCTCGTTAAGAAGCCTCTAATATTACATCGTTAAATCCTTGCCAAACACTTAAGAAAGGATCTTATGAGATTTATTACACTTTTAGGATTTTTTTTTTTTAAAGTCAGCCTCTTGTGGAGATTGGTTAGATTGGATTTCAAATTTGGCATGATTTATGGGTGCCCAAAGATCCTCATTTAATAACCTCATTTTCAATTACAAACTAACGTTTTCTTGTAACTGCGATTTTACAAAATAATGAGAATTCTTGGATCTAAATCTGTTTTAAAAAATGTGTTGCAGTTTTTAGACATTTTGGATTTAATATAAACAATTATAGGTTTAACTAAAAATGTTCTTGTTGTTCATGTACTTTTTCACATGTTTCTTGAATATTTCAAGTTAGTTAGTTGGATTTATTTACAGAGCACAATTTCCCACATCTTCACACCAATACAGGTTTGAAAAGGGGTTGGATCGACCCCCAATCAACACACAATATTGTGCACAATATTGTGCACAATATTATACACAGAATACATTACGGGCGACAGTGGCTCAGTTGGCTTTAGGCCTGAAGGTTGTGGGTTCAATTCCCACCTCAACACCTTCTCCCCCGACTCCCACTGATGTCTGCTGTCGTTGTGTCCTTGAGCAAGACACTTAACCCCACTTTGCCTGAAGCCCCCACTCAAAAGATCTCAGCTCCTGTGGACTCACCACCTGCAGAGGATCAGTGAGGGGCAGGTGTTATATGACTTGGGACTTGGGTGGCATCTCTGACTGCCACCCCCCCGACCCAGAAATGGATTAAGGGGTAGAAAAAAAAATTATCCAACATACAGTATACAATATGTCCAGAATGTACAATACCATAGGGTAAAAGTGTTTAAAGTGGGAGTACCTACATTTAAAAGCACAAAAAAATGACGATAAAAATGTATTTTTTATACGATGGAGACTCATCCTGTCGGGACGGACAAAATGTATTTTTGCTAAACCAAAAAGTGGATGTGCTCTAGCTTTGATATACAATGTTATTTGAGATTAAAAGTGTGCTACAAACTTGTATTTACGTTTCAATTGAGAAACCAAGGAACATTGGGTCCAATTTTTAATCTCAATTGTTCAGTTATTCCATTTCTTTCAGAAACTTCAACCACAATCAATCAAGAAAATTCGACTGAAGAGAGGAAATGGAGAATGATGAGTGTTCCTATTTACTCCTCTGATCCAAAATGAAGCAATCTGTAACAACAATCTTCAAACCATCTTTTTTATCTAGCATTTTCTCATGTCTCCAGCGAGTCCACCAGCTTTTTGCAAAATGTCCTCAGAACCTCTTTGCATTCCTGATTGAGCGGAGAGTCACATTCATTAATTATCCTGCAGTAATTCTCCGCCCTGCTGACAAGAATAGAATTATGAGAGGACACTTGAGGATGAAATATCGGCCTACATTTGTCCATTAAAGACCGAAAACCTTCAGTGTCCTCGTTCAGGCTGCGTCTACGAGGGCAGAAAGGCAAAACCAATCAAGAGCACATGTCAGCAAGGCCCGACATTTATCTGCGTCCCTCCCCGAAACTTGTTCCTATAATTAATGCCACGGCTGCGGCTAAATGTCAATTTGTGCTCTTGTGCCCAGTCGGTTCCTTGGGCAGATAGACTCCACGCTCGAATCGGGCTTGTGTTGATGATAGTGTGGAGCTCATTACCAGCCTCATTTATCAGTCCCTCTGTCCCTTCTCTACAGCTGAACGAGTTGTTCCGGAAGTCCGACGTGCACAAGGACTTCATGAGCGTGCGCGTGAGGAACCTGGCTCCGAGCAGGTCCATCCTGGCTTTTGTGGAGGCCCACTTCAAACCAGGTGAGAAAGAGTTTTTTGTATGTGTTGTTAGCTGGTGACCATTGATGACAATGTTAGGTTAGTCCATATACTTTAACGGATCTAAGGGCAGGTAGACTTTTATTATCTAAAGACACAAAAATATGAAAATGTTTTGACAAATTGTCTTCATGAGGAAACAAACTCCCTGCCTTCAAAACTTTGTTGACTTGCTGCTACAGTTAAGATGAATGGGTTTCTGATATTTTGGAAGCCCGAGTAATTACTTGCATGAGAAAGCCAGATCCCTTCTGAAGCTGTGCAGGGCAGGGCTGGTTAGTACTGTGATGGGAGATCTCTGAGAACATCAGGTGCCACAGTGGGGCGGCTGCGGCGGTAAAGTGCCAAACTGTTGTTGTGTCCTTAGGCAAGACACTTCACCCCCATTGCCTAGAATGAGTCTGGTGTGTGTGTGAATGGCTGTTGGTGGTTGGAGGGGCCGATGGCACATAATGGTTGCCTCGCTTCTATCAGTGTGCCCCAGGGCAGCTGTGGCTACAGTAGCAGTTGATCCCCACTGTGTATGGAGTGAATATTGACATGTGAAGCGTCTTGGACGCTTGTCCTGAAAAGCACTACATAAAACAAATGCATTATTATTATTATTATTATTATTAAAGTATTCTCATTATGTAAATGTATTTTAGATCAAAGTGGCCTTCACTTTTAAAAAAAAGAATCCTTTGTATCACCCTGTACTTTATTATCAAATTGTCTTTCATGGATGTAATTTCTCTTAAATAGGACATCATATTTCCCTTTTTACTCACACATTCATACTTTTAACCAACCACTGCGCTCTCCTGACCACACCTTTTAGGGGTTAACTAAATGTTTGCTCATTTAATTTTTTAATCTGTGATATGCAGATTTTTTGCTAAACTTGTGCAATATTTGTTTACAAACAAAACAAAAGTAATTTGTTGCACTACTTATCCGGCAGTGGAGCAATTATTTTGATTTGACCATGTTCCACTGACTTCACGTCAGACGCTGATCGAAAAGCTATACGAGGAAATGAATACAGACTGCACCGACTCGTCTCCTTTGTCAGCTAAGTTTTGCTCAATAATTCAAAATGTACTGAATATACAACAATGAGCCACAGTGTCATTGATTACAATACAGCAAACATAAGCAGGTTACAGCCTCTTTATGTTTGTCGGATCTGGTCAGCTGACTGAAAGTGTAATAATTTTGATGTCAATCCATATCTCACAAAAGTGCTGCTCAATTACTTATTTCCACGCCAATAGCCGATTTCTGCCTCTCTGTAAATCCCCATGTTTGGATTTGTTCTGATGCAAATTTTCAAGCAATTCTTGGGACATCTCTATTATTGAGAAATCTCTTTCAGACCGTTGTGTAGGCTAATCTGTATTGTCAGGGTTATTATAGTTGGTGTTCTACTGTCTACTGTTTGGAGCACGTTGTTTTGGATCCTATTTTATTGTAAAGATTACCTGTAATAGCGTTTATGTAAATGCACCACATGTAGTCTAAACAATCCGACACTAAACAGGAGGAGGACTCCTAAGATATTTTGCCGTTTAAGAATAGTTTGGGGGCTCCACACCACAACCTGGCGAGTACTGGTAGCTTTTCAAAATATTGTAAAATGACAAATAATCTGTTTTTATTCTATCATTCAATATCTGCAAGTTTCGTAAAAGCATTCTTTACCCTTTTCTTTTGTGCACAAACAAATGTAATAGATTGTTTTAGGGAACGGCCACGTGTTGGGTAAGTGGTTGTTTCCCTTCACTCAAATCCAAAATGCTGTCTGCAAAATTGATAAGATAAGAGATCCTTTATTCCTCCCACAGTGGTGAAATTTCAATGTTGCAGCGCACATACAAGACAGTAGTAAGAGCACACAAAAATATGCAAAATAGGTATAGCTACTGTATATTCTTTGTAATCGAAAAAAAAAAATGTGGCTTGAGCAACTATATTACTTTGGCCATAATGTAAAAAAGATCAATCTTGATGTTTTTATGTTCAAAGCATGATTATACTGTATGCCGGGTTAAGATTGATTTGCAAAAGTGATTAGTCGCAATTACAGAGTTCCCTTGTTGTCGCCCAAGATGAAAAGTAATATTTAAAATCATGTTAATACAAAGTCTGCACACTGTGTCTCTTTTAAAATATGCCCAAAGACAACCAGAAAAAACAAAAGACAAAGACATTTATTGTATAATTGTCTTTAGTCTGACATATTTCCCAGAACAATTCCTTCCATTACCTGCCTTAAGCGCAGCAGCCTCTTCCTGTTCCCCCTTTATGATCGTCATTTAGTGTCCTTGGTCCCATCTCCTCTATGGTCAGTAAAGTGAACATCTGCGCTGTGTGTTATGAGAGACATTCATCTGGAAAAAGACGGCCAAGTGGCGGCTGGAGGACAAGGAGCCCCCGGAGAGGCCCCACCTGTCACACACACCTACTCACACACAGACAGACACACACCTACTCTCTCACACACACACACACACACACATTCTCATTCATCCTGGAGGTAGAAAGCCGCCACTGTCCGCTGTTTCCCCTGCACTGCTCCTCTGAGACCCGCTTCTGAGCTTGTCTTCATTTGTTTACAGGCACCAAGCACAGTGTGGAGGACATCGAGAAAGCGCTGCTCAAACAGCTCAAGGCCTCCAGGGACACCAGCATCACCGTGAAGAAGCCAGAAGATCAGAACATTCGATTTAATTACAGTAAGGCATCTGGGTTGGGCTGGTAGGCATGAGGGATTTGCAAAAGATAAAAAGTATTGGCTGCCTTTGACACAAGGATTGGAAGAAATTGTGATAGTAAAGGACACAAAGAAACCTTAATGAAGGGCAAACTGTTATATACCGTGAACATATATTTGTTTTTTTTAAAGCTCTAAAATCTTCCCATGAGGATATTTAGTTAGTCCATATCAAGTTCTTTATGTTCTGGAATAAATATATATGATACATCTAACAATGTGACTTTCAAAATACAAAATAATTCAATAAAATAGTTCCTGGCTCTAAAAGAGTTTGGTTCTCATATTTTTAGATCAGTTTTATCTGTAAGGGAAATATGAGGACCGCCCCATCTCAAAGTATCAAAATGGCTCAGGGCTCTTTCTTACGAGCATGCAACATATGCTTTCACATCATATTTATTGAATGAGGTCATAATGCTGACTCCACATGAGCTCCGGCTGAAGATCGGAAGCCTGGGTGGTGAGACTCCGTGTGGGAGTTCGGTCTTGGTGATTTGCCCAGCCGATTCGGTACACTCCACCTCTTAAAGAATGGAGTTTGAAAAAGCATATGTAAGAAGGAGTGGGAGGGTTGAAAACATGATATCAAACAGTGACAGATGAAAAAAGTGTAGACGGGCTTCAAAAAGCTTCTGGGAGTTGGGAGTGGTACAAGGACGAACGATGAGGCGTGGTCCTTCAGTGAAAATATTTACTACATTTTAATTCATATTTTTGTATTGTCCTAAATCGCAACCGTAGCTATATCTATCTTTACAAAGTTGTTGACAACACAAATAAAACAGTTCAACAAATGATGAAAGAAACATAGAGCCATCGGTCCATAAGGGGCAGAATAGATAACCAATGTCCCAAAATATTTATAGATAATCTCAAAAGTTGTTGAATGTCCTGGATCATCGTCAACTCAATATTTGTCTTGCAGATAAAGAGAATAAATACAAACTGTCCCATGTGCTGCAGGCCTCCCGTCCGTCCCATTCTTCACCACCACCAGCATGACCACCACAGCCTCGGTGACCACCCCAGCCCCTGCCACCACCACCACCACACAACCTCACTCCACCTCCGCCCACGTGACTCGCCGCCCGCCCGGCACTACCCGCAGGCCCTTCAGCACCAGACGCACCACCACAGAGTCTCCGGTCACCACTACAGCCCGCGTCACCAGCCCTGCCATGTCGCACACCACCACACTTCCTCCAGGTACCACCAGGAGCTCAGGCAGGGGCAGAGGTCACCACATCAGCACAGGGAAGCCCTGCGACTCTCACCCCTGTCTGCACGGGGGCACCTGTGAGGACGAGGGGACCGAGTTCACCTGCAAGTGTCCCGCGGGCAGAGGGGGAGCCGTGTGTGAGAAAGGTGAGACAGGAGAGGACAGCCGTGCTATTATACTGTATACTGTATGGAATATATGACAGCCACCGGCATCCAAGTCAAAGTAGAAGAAGAATTATGAACTGAAGCCAGGCTGCTAATCTGCAATACATTCACACACACACTCACTCGCACATGCACACATATACACACACACACAAGCATGCACAATATTTGAATATTCCTATCATGATTATTTTGTGATCCTCTGATGCAGGGGTTATAACAAACACATTACCTTTTTGCTACTTTAACGCTAAAACATTTTTTTCGTAGCACATTTCATATCACTCACAAGGGGAGTTGTTATTCTCACTGACTCGAGCAAATGGTGGAATGTTTTTTCACTGACATTATTTTTTGTTTCAAACACAAATACATGAGTAAGGACCATAATTAATTAAATGCATGTTTAATCATACATTGACAAGGTGGAACGACCACACACTAATGCAAATTGGTATCCACACACCACCTTAGAAAGCATATTTTGAACTGACTAATAACATAATTTCTTAAGTGTATCCAAAAAGGCCCAGGGCTTTTCTGCTTGAATCTTGAAGCAAATGATTAAGGAAATTGCCTGTAATTGGGCAGAAGTATCTACTTGAACCTGAGGTTGAATTTGCTTAAATTTGCATTTAATGTTCAGCAAAGTGTGTGTCAGATAGTCAATGTGTGACTGTGTTTACATGGTGAGAGAATCCAACCGATATATTTGGAGGTATAGTATCTTCCTTGCCGGAGGTTTTTCAGACTGTTGTTGTGAAACAGATTAACGGTGGAGCCCTTTATTATGAGAGATAGTGGACTACTAAAAGGGTTATTTTGGTTATTGTTATCCTCTGTTTCAGTGTTTTCTGAGTCATGATGAGTGTTAGTAATGGTTCAGGAGAACAACTAGCTCCTTGTAATTTCAGAAATTTTGTTCTTCTTCAAAAGAAATTGAGCATTTATTTTTCTTTGAGACGGTTTATTTGTCACCTTTTTTTAGCTATAGTTTCATTCATTATTTTTCATTCATGAACAAATTACACACACTCTGGTCTGAGTTTCTCCTAACATAGAAATATATACTGTATATCTGTAAATATAAATACAAAAAGGAAACTCTGAGAAATGCTCAGCCATGACTTATGACTGTATATAGTCTCCACAAAAGCCCGATAATGGTGTAAAGATACAGAACGAGCTTTAGGCGCTCTTGTTTCATAGCTCCTCTGTAATCACAGCTCCCACATCCTTTAAAAGCTGCTATACTGTATACTGTATATGGATAATGGATATACAATAACACTCCTTGACAAGAAAGCCTGCCAACACTTTGAAGACAATCCCATAAAGATATATTCTCTCAATCCCATGTAGTACAGACAGTGTGTCAACATCCTGAGCTTTGTCTTCTTGATAAATCGTATTAACTGGGAACACACTGTAATATTTTGTCCCCTTTCCTCTCACTGTACACGTTGTAAGCATGTCAAACTACCTCAGAGCTGTCTCTAATTGGTTTAACAAGGATTATCTACTGAGCCTCAAGAAGTGGGTACTGTGAAGACGTGAGTAAACTGATCACCACCTTCTGGGTCCGAAGAAGCCGAAGTTTTCAAACAAATGTCAAAAAATCTGATAATATATTCATACAACTCATGTGGTTTCGACCAATGTAAAAATGGGAAGATGGAAAAGACAGAGTAGATTGAAAAGAATAATAGATTGGCCTTATGGAAGACTCCCAAAATACCTTGAAGTATAGTATATTAATGTAATGATATTGTCGACATTATAGTTCTGTCAGATATTTGAGGCTGGAGAAGAACTGGTGGCAGGAACACTACAAAGAGTGACACATTTTATGAATGGTTATAAACAGGAAACTATTGATTCATCAGCTGCCATTCTCTGCTCCATGATGGACACTCAGGGGACACAATACATCATAATCAGCATTGTGAAGTGGTCAAAGACTAATAAGAGCCGCTGAGAAGATAACATCGCTTCTCCGCCGCCTCAGGGACTCTTGATAAACTTGTCACATCTTGTCTTTGAATTCATTTGAACAGAATGGGGAAATTGTATATTCTTGCAGACTTCTATGCAAATAATACCATTATCGTGTATTCTTTGCCTTTTGCTACGTTTTGTCCATGTTGTCTCAAGGAAGTTTGACGTGGCAAGTCCATGTTGAATTTTAGTTAGTTTTGAGCCATGTAGAAGTATATGTCACATGTGTAAAAACAGGTTCTTCGGACCCGGATTTAAAAAGGACCACTGGATTAAAAGCGAATTAAAAGCAATTTATTATAAAATGCCTTAAAAACAATTAAATAAAAGAAATAAAAACCTAAGCTAAAAAAAAAGGGCTAAAAAGCTAAAACAGAGGCTAAAACGCAGGCTAAAACACGTTCCCAAGGTCTGGGCCGCCAGACCTTTTGTAAGACTTTCGTGCCTTTCTCTTTTTACAGTTATCAAATATTTCCTCCCATCCTTTGGCGGAGAATCTTATTTGGCTTTCCAAACCATGAGTGCTTACCACACGGTACGCATTGCCATGGAGTTCAGGACATCAGAAATGACCGGCATCTTGCTTTACAACGGCCAGGATGGGAAGAAGGACTTCATCTCGCTCGCCCTGGTCGATGGTCGTGTGGAGCTCAGGTAATGAACGACAAATCTCTGATTGATTCAAACACAGGCCAATGCTCTAGCAACTGAGCCACTGTCGCAACATATTTTTAGGCCATTTTAGCAATAGCAAGAAAAAGCTGGAGATATGAGTAAAGCGTAAGCAAATGGTGAGCATTCAACATGATGAGGAAAATAATTACACAGTCAACATGTTGAAAATAGCAGCAGCAGGAAAGGAATCAGATGCAGAAGCAAGGTTGAACTCAGACGATGTACTGTTTACAGATGGAGCCGGCATGTGTTGCAATTCGACCATTACATCTCATTACATCATATGTTTATACAGGGAAATGAAATGCATACACATAAACAAGTGTGTCGTTAACACACGCAGCTGGAGTAATGTTCATATATTCAAAAGCTCCACGTCCAGACTTCCGAATTCTAACAGTTGAAGGCACTTTCTCATTTACAAGCAAACATGGCTTTTCTTCATAGATGCATTTGTTTTAGCATTTAAAGCTTGTGGGCAAAAGAAGATTCTGTCCACTTGGTCTGATGGTCATGGCTCAATTCCTTACAAATAACACATATTATAAGGACTGGAGAGGGTCTGGAGCTTTGCTTAGTTCTGATTACTTTTGACTGTTTTAATTGTTGTATTTTAAGATCTGTTCCCGACCTGTCACGATAACTCATTTCACACTAACAATAAATTGCTTCAATTATTTAATTTGCTGAACAATGATATTGAAACTGCTTGTAGAGTGCATTGGGTGACCTTGGTCTGTAAAAACGTGCTATATAAATGAAGATGACTGACTTAATTACTTACTTACTTAATGCCACTGATGAGATATTAGGGGTATAAATTCATTCAATATTATGAACTTTTACAAATGAAATCTAAACATTTTCTGACAATTTTATCAATCCATTATTGAACAAACGGTTGAAATAGTAGATATTGTGACAGGCGTATGGGAAATCTTTTCAAAATGACTTTCAGGCAATTTTGGCCTTCACAAAAATGTATTGATTTGTAATGAAATTTGTAATGAAACACCATTTCCCTGTAGATACCTGCAGATAGTGGACTGTCCAGTAAAAAGTTATAAAGCACACCTTTATCATCAATTACTATTTGCTTCAATCTCATTATAGGTGCTGTATTACCGAGCTAAAAAGATTTGACTGCACTCGGTGTGTAGTAAACTCATGTGGGAAAAGAGTGAGAAAAGTAATTAGCCTTTCAGCTCTGCATTTGATATGGAGCTTCCCTTATCTCTGGACTACTGTATCACATCCAGACCTGCTCAGACCCCTTCAGACCTGCGCAGAGCTGGCTTTTTAATAAGGCTTTTTTCAGTCCCCGAAATACTGCTCCTGGATCACCAAACACTGCGCTGCGAATCCAAGAACTCGTTATTTGAGACGATAATTGCTCTCAATACTTACTGTGTGGGTTGCGTATACCACTTCTTTTGTGAGACGTGCCCTCTATCCTCAGTTGATTAAATGCTGAACATAAAAGTGTAAATGTGACTGTTAGTTTAGAATAAGATACCTTCGTCCTTCCATCCTTGTGGAGGAGTAAAACGGATTCTTCCAGTCATTAGGCTTTGTTCGATAAGGAACAAACATCTTGTGCTAAAACCCTGGCTGCTGTAATTTGATATGAAAGTGAAGCGGACTAATTATTTCTTACTCACTACATGCAGAAATAGGGAGGAGGGGGCTTCTCATAGCCTGCATTTGTCCTCTAACTTTATTTGTAGGGTATAGTATATTACATAGCTAGAAAGACCAAAGCACTGGTGTAAAACAAGATCAACTTTATGTTAGCTGCAAATGTAATGATTTCAGATTTTCTAAAGGCAAAGATTGGTAAACTTGGTAAAAAATTCTTGTATCTATTTTTATTTAGTTGGTTCTGCAGTCTGCAGATAAGTCCCACAAATAAATGGAATTTGTATTACCCTGTTTTTGACCATGTTTTCCATTTTTCTGAATAGCAAAATTATGTCTTTATCAATGTCTTTAATCAAGATATTGTATTAAATATTTGCAAAGGCACATAATCCCATTGTAATAATAATAATAATAATCTTTATTTATATAGCACTTTTAAAAACAGTGTTTACAAAGCGCTGCACAGTCAGCATGATAAACAATAAAAACAGTCATAATGCAAGGTCAAAATAATTAGATACAGAAACACAAAGCAAACAGAGCAAAACACAAAAGAGACTCAACAAAGACAAAGCAGACAATAAAATACAGCATCGGAAGTTTAAAACTAACAGTTAAAAGCTGTTTGATAAAAGTGGGTTTTAAGAAGAGATTTAAAAGAGGATACTGATGGTGCTAGCCTTATCTCCTCGGGCAGGTCGTTCCAAAGCCGAGGAGCCCGGACAGAGAAGGCTCGGTCACCTTTCGTCCGGAGCCTCGACCTTGGAACAGTCAACAGGGACCTGCCCGAGGATCTAAGGCTGCGGTATTGTAAGGCTTGTATGTATACATTGGTTTTGCTTTGCCTCTAGGTTCAACACTGGCTCTGGCACGGGAACTCTGGTCAGCAAGGTGCAGGTGGAGCAGGGCAGGTGGCATCAGCTGGTGGTGACGCGAAACCGGCGTAACGCCATGTTGAGTGTGGACAGTGAAGACCATGTGGAGGGAGAGAGCCCCCGCGGAACAGACGGGCTCAACCTGGACACCAACCTCTTCATTGGAGGAGTGCCGCTGGATATGAAACAGGAGTAAGATTTATTTCATATTTGATTATGATTGCACAACGGCAATTCATAATAAGGCATTGGAATTCTAATATAGATGATGAAATCCATAGTTTAAGGCAAGAGATACTGAAGGTAATTCTAACAATTTTAATGGATGTTAGCCATATACTGTACATACTATGTTTTGTTTATACCGTGAATACTTAACTTTGAAATCACAAATCAAACTCATATACCGGTAATTTGTCCCTCGCTTTCAAAACAGTGTGGTCCCAGATCACTAGTTTTCACATGCTGGTATTTTTGTTTGTCTCTGTCATATCTTTAGCTTTTTTAGTGTAAAAGAGAGTACCACCCTCACCTCATCTGTGGTCCGACCTGTTCACAAAATATTATTTAAGAATCATAAAATATTACACAAATTGAGCCATTTTACACAATTTAAATTGTTAAAGAGTTGGATGTTGCGTAAGTTATAATCCCCTGTATTCAAGAGAGAATGGGCAATGTTCTAATGTTTTATTTATCAATTTGAATGTGTGATTTGGCAGCATTAAATCCATACTGCGATCATCTGTTATGAGTTTAGCCTGACAGCACTTTGCACCAATACCTTCTTTAAACGCATTCCTTAGTTGTGTTTAAAAATAAAAAAAACAAGAAATGCAATAAATATTTCATAATCCTCCCCTGGTTCCAGTGTGAAGGAGAGGACTGGGGTGGACGCAGGGCTGGTGGGCTGCATCCGCCTGCTGGACGTCAACAATAGAGTCTTGAACCTGCAGGAGAACGGGGGAGACAGTCTGTTCGGCAGCGGAGTGGGAGAGTGCGGCAACAACCCCTGTGTGCCCAACCCCTGCAGGAACGGAGCAGCCTGCCAGGTCAAGGAGGCCGAGATGTTCCACTGCAAATGCACCAGGGGATTCTGGGGTAAGACAACACGCACCATGAAATATGATCACACAGACTCCATAGACTCCATAGAAATAACTCGTTATTCAAACTTTTTTATCCCTTACTTTTAAACACAGAGACTTTCTATTCCTTATATTTTAAAATGACTAGAAACTTTGCAGATAGTGACATGATATACGTAGAAATAGATTCAAAGTAGCATGTCACTACAATACACTTCGAACTAAAAACATATTGATTGGAGACCTGTGCATATAAATGTGAGAGTGGTCGTTAAATGTATTAATAATGGTGTTAACGTAAACCTATTTGGACGACATCATTTTTTTTATTGCACTATTAACACTCCCGTCATTTTATTTATCAGAAACGCTCACACCTCACATCCACTGTCTACACTCGTGGGCGTAGATAGTGTTCTTTCTTCTGTTCGTTCTTCTGTCAGAGCGATTTGACCAGCTTCAGTTGCGGCCCATGCGTAAACTGCACGGAGGATGAAACTGGCTCAAGTGCACAGACGCACACCGGCCAGAGGCTCCTCAGTCCAAACCGGCTTTCAGTCCAAAAGCATTTTTTCTTTCAAGTCTCTTGTCTGACACAGATACCATGATTCTCGACAATTCTCCATATACTTTACAAGAAAGTTAATCACACAATAAAACATTACGCCATCAAATTAAGTAATTAACAAGTTTAACTGACAGCACTACATATATAAGATAAGAGTTACTTTATTCGTCCCACAGTGGGGAAATGTATCTATATCTATCTATGTATATACAGTATATATGTGAACTTATATATAAGGGGATAAATTATGTGTGCTATTTGTCTGGTTTCGTTTTATCTGCATGGACACCTCTCATGTTATGGGGTGCTTATATACAAATACACCCCTTTGTGTTCAATTATTTATACCAGCATTTAAGTCTGGTCCAGTACCTGTCCTTCTGAATCACCAGCATCATACCCAATCTTTGCAATATTCCTTCTTCTTGGTCCTGAGTAATCTCCAAATATGGATGGGTCTGTGTGCGTTGTCATATCCATTTTCTATTGATAATTATTCATACACTCTTTTCTCCATGCCCACGAGCCATCCGCTGCATGCATCCCTCAGTGACTCACTTTGGCCCCTAAAATGAAGCAGTATGGTGGAGCAATGGAAACACCACAGGACCATCTGCCATAATGGAAATGTGCCTATGGTCGGCCTTTAAGACCGTATTAGAGTCCTGGTTGCACTAGTGTCTGATCAAACCCTGCAAAATCTAATTCTCTTTAGTCTTGGTTCATTAGTTACCTCACTCGAACGGTTGATTACAAATTGATTGGCATGGTTAGAAATCTAACAATGGAGGATAAAATGTTGTAATTACTGAAAACCTGTCAACCTACTAGTCTGAAAGGTGACACTGCGTCATTTATTGATGAAACTGAGATTGTTGGGGGAAGAGTAAGATCTTTGCTGAGAGATAAATCTAAGTCTCCAAGAAATGTTATAGTTTAGCTGTACTACAGGCCCTGCTGCTGACAGGGTCAAATGCAGAGGACTGACCTGAGGGAAAAATAAAGTACTTTACCACTTTATGTATGACTGTATTCCTAATCCTCTTATCCTTCTACCCATTATTGTAACAAAGAAATAAATGAATACCGTCAACATTAGTTCTGTGTTCTTAAAATATATGGAATAATACAATTACAACATTGGCCTACTTTTGTTCTTTTATTAGTTTTAAATTGTTTGGTTATCACATATGGCAGCTCCCTAAATCTTTCTAAAAACTTTCATCGCAAATTTTAAAAGTGCAACTTTTTGGGGTTTAGATTCAGTTAAGAAGCTATTAAGAAAAGGCTTGACTTTGAAGAAGCATTGCGGTGATCAAAGCTTTTTGGCACAAGGCACAGGAATGAATGGAGATAATGAGAATTGGACAGGCGCCCGCAAGCTCTTAATTTAGTCATTTTATAAAGTGGCCAGGACAGGCACTGCGGCGGATGGGAAACCACAGACGACAGAGGAGAGGGCGAGGGGAGGTGGGAAAAGACATGTCGGGACAGTGTTCTGTGATTAGAGTGAGGGTATAAAAACAGGTTAGTCCTGTGAGCTCAGCGGGGCAGGTTTCATTAAAGACCTGAGTGTTACAATAATGACAGTGTGTTAAGATGGGCCCAGAGACACAGGCCAAAGACCATGATTCCACTGCAGAGCAATCTGCTCATGTTGATATTTACATATCCTTTTAGAAAATGACCACTTTGACCAAACCAAGTGCTTTTGAAAACAAAACGTAGAGGAAAATATTCTTGTGTGTTTTTCTAGGTCCAACTTGTGCTGATGTCCATGACCCCTGTGAGCCCAACAGGTGCCATCCCTCGTCCCAGTGTCAGCCCCAGCCAGAGGGTGGCTACAAGTGTGAATGTCCCATGGGCCGAGAGGGCAAGCACTGTGAGAAAGGTAACATCACACAACAGTGTATCCATTTCTGCTTCTTGCGTGTTCTACACCTTTTGACAGATCCCCTGACTGTGATGATGTGTAAATCAAATTGAGGGGGTTGGAGCCTGAAATGGGAGTTTGTTGCTTTGCTGTGCAGCAGAATGATTGGCCCCATCAGGCCATTCAGCCTGGTACTGGCTTGTTAGTTGTGGCTGTCCGCCTACAGGTACAGTCTTCTAACATGTTGCCGCTCAGATCGTCAAAGTAGAGTGGGTTCAATGCAGTGAAAAAAACAAAGGCTTTTTGATGTTCACCATTAAAGCTATTGGTATTGTTGTGTTACGAGTCAGCCTCAGTTTCCGTTCCGTATAGATATGTGATGTGCTGAGCTGACGTGACCCGAGGAGGAGAGTCTGATTCCCTTTCACTATGTGGGGTTGTCTTACACCTCTGTGAGTAACCCTGTTAAACAGTGTGTTAGTGGAATGGAGTCCAAGCACACAGGACTTTCCTCCTCCAGTCTACGTTTGCAGGTGATTAAAATAAATTGAGGTGAAATAAAATCAATGTGGTGTGAGTGAGAGTGTCTTCTTTTCTAAAAGGCTATTTTTTTCTCTGAATCAATGAGATGACTAATCACATCAGTTCTGCTGCCCAGGGTGATTTATGTGAGCGTCAGTCAGCCCAGTGTCAGCTGTAGACAGAGCTCAGATAAGGCTGCGTAAAACCTGAGCCACTCATCTGTAGGCTGCAGGTGCGCCACACTATCTCTTCCACCCTGCACTGCTGTAATATTTCCTATCAAGGACCTTACTCAAGGGTGGAACTGTACTATTGAATGGCCTACTTAGAGAGGGTCAATCGTTGTAGTTTAGTGATGAAAGAGCAGCGCGTGGACTTAGCCTCCAACCACCTACTTATGTTTACATTTCATCATCTTTTCTTTTAATTTAGACAGCTACATTAATCAGAAAAACAGTTAATGCGTATGAGCACATTTAATTGGGCAGGTTCAGGGCCTTTTAGCTGCCTCCTCACAGCCTCTTTTCTTTGGATTGCTTATAGTAAGTGCTAATTAGCTTGCATTACTGTTATATAAACACAATTACAATCAAACGATCCGGAGCATGGAATGACTCTAAAAGTTTAATTTAAAAAACTTGCTTTGGTCCGACATGCATGATGGAGAATTTTCCTGGTCATTGGGATCCTTGCTGACTTATTGATCTCATGGCGCCCAGAGCCACAGTGCGGAAAAGCCCCTCTACTCCCAGCTGTTCCATTATTCTAACCCACTTCACTTTAGCACATACTATTCTATTTCCCGCTTCTATGTGGTGCGTGCCGTCATCATTAGCAGTCTCCCGCACAATAGCTAATTTGCTTTCTCATCTACGTCTGCCTTCCCCATCCTGACGTGGCTCAGCTAAGCCCAGCAAATTACAAATACTACCACATTCCCTGCCAGATCAAGAGTTGCCTGTTTAAACCTGTGATGATAAAAATCCATTTATATTTGTTTGACGCCTCCTACTTTAATCTGTTTTGTTTTGAAACTGTTTTATATCTTTGTGGTTCTTCAATAAAAGCAGATAGATAGATAGATTGATAGATAGAATGCCATTTCAGTTTCGTGCTAACTTCACATGCTACTTCCTTACAATTTTATTACTTCAGGAACAAATCAATAATTAAAATGTATTTTTTGCTTTTTTTCACTAACTCATAACTTAAAACTGTTTAGTGTTCAGACATGGATTTAAATCATTAAATCAGTGTTTACTTCTGTAACCTGACCCCACAAAAAGAATTACAAAAGCTATTCCTTGGTTTTAAACTTATAAAAACTGCACATTGTGGATACATTCCTTTTCAATGGCCTGCTAAAACAATCACACTTTACACAATATGTTCTGATTTGTGGGGAATAGCCGATTGTTACTTCCAAATTATTGATAACTACTATTAAAATGTTTTTGTCTGACAATGCGTGCATGATTATTTATTTAATTTATTTGTGTTCTAACACTTTAATGCGACTGAGGTTAATGTAAACAGAGCCTTGGGTGGTTTTGCTGTCAAACTGCTTGTTAGAAGGATGGCACTGAGCCTCCTCTAATCACTGCACAAGCCAAAAGCAAAGGAATACCGCAGCAACGCCATGTACAACCGTCGGCAAGACATGAATTTGCTGAAAAGTCGCTGCCATAACACAATAGTGGTATTATTTCATGGGTCCCAGTCGTGGTGTTAAACTCCGCACTGCCGCAGAGCCTCTTTGTGAGTCTTTGGCGTCTGTGTAATCAGGCTGACATAAGAATTTCTCAATTTTTGTGTTTGAATTTCTATCACAGGGAAGTTTAACTCCCATAGGATATAGAGAACCAATCCATCTTCCCTGCATAATGGTGGTTGTAGCTCCTGAAAGACCGACTGACTGCAAGCTGGAAATAATAATGTGTGGAAATGTGGTTAGTGCAAGTTAATTTGTGATGGCCATATGTCATGACCTGAATGTACAGTGGTCCCTTACAATAAAGCAAGTCACCTTTCACGGCCAATCTTGTGTACCACGAGTGTAACATTACCCTTTATTCAAAGTCAGACAAAAACATAAGTGTCTGCACGGCTATGGACAGCTGCAGCAAATCCAATCCTTTTCAAATCCATTCTATTTGTATCACCCCAAAATCACAACAACAGTCGTCTCGCGGGTTGTCACAGAACCGGCAAATCCCAAAGGCAGGCTGGGAACTAGTCCAAGGAGTTCAGGGTTTTGAGAGTTAACAGCAATGCACAGACCACATTTAAGCATCAAGTCAAAATGGCCAGGAAGACGCTTGATATCTCGGCGATCGCACTTCAGCAGTCGTGTGTTCCGGTTGTTAGCAAAGTGTATGAAGGATATAGTGAGTGATCATTAAAGACCCCTAATCTGTGATCATTAAAGAGCCCTAATCTGTCGTCAATAAAGGGCCCTAATCTGTCATCATTAAAGAGACCTAATCTGTCATTATAATAAACTGCTCTTTTCCAATACTTCTTTAACTGATAACAGTAGTTCAGAGATATTTACATTTCTAAATTAGTTTTACAGCCCTTAAATCTTGTTATTGTTTTCATTTCGATGTCCCGCCCTCCACCGTTATACCAATCAGAAAGTCTGTGATCCGGGTTGCAGAACTCACTGCGTCGAGCTAATCTCACTGGTAAAGTACCATGTGCCCGGAGTTTTCCAGCCTTAAAACATACAGCTGCTACTTCACAGATTTCGACTATTGTGCGTTATTTTTAGGGCCACTGTAGTACTGCATTGAAACAACAAATTTACTTCTTTATCCAAAACACAAATCCATTTGCATTAAGAAAGTACCACTCCCTATTCTTCATTCTCTCTCCTGTGATCTAACATTGCTTAACAAGAGCCCACCCTTGTAAAGCTTTTGGGTTTATGGAGAAACCAAAGTGCTCTAGATTCTCAAAGAGGGGGATGGGATATTCTTATTTAAATTAGATACCTGTATATTTTTTGCAGTGCCCTTTGTTCTTGCTGGAAAATTTTAGTATATATAGCAGATTTAACATGGCTCAAAATGCTGGTCCTGACTACACACTTTTTGTTTTTGTTCTCCCAGTGCTGGAGCGGCGGGGAGCTTACATGCCGCTGTTCAATGGGGACTCGTTCCTGGAGCTGAAGGGGTTGCATCTCTATGGGCACGATCTGCGGTGAGTCTCGGCTGGAAGCTAACACTCAGATGATGGTGTTTTCACAAGCCTAAGGCAGCACTTCGACTTTACACTGCAGCTGAATCGACAATGAGGGTTACACAAATAACACCGAGCCCTCAGGATGCAAAATAGCTGTGGCTATTCTCCGGAACAAAAAAAAAACTAAAACTATATTCTGTTGTGTTTGCAGGCAAAAGGTCAGCATGACAGTGGTGCTCATGGCCAACGACTCCAATGGTGTGATCTTCTACAACGGCCAGAAATCCGAAGGCAAAGGAGACTTCATCTCTCTGGCTCTGAACAATGGCATTCTGGAGTTTCGCTATGATCTGGGCAAAGGGCCTGCAACCATCAGGTCAGTGTACCAAGGGCCTACCACACTAATTGATCATCACCAAACTGAACCATTGAGTGGGATCGTGAAATATATTGAGTGAAAAATGTATGTACGTATTTTGGTGGCGGGACAAAGGGTGCTTTCTGTACAGCAACTTGGCTCCCTGCATTTTTCTTCCATCTTTTTCTTTTTATCTATTTCTGTTATTGATTTTGAAAGTCTTCTAGCTCTTATAATGTTTCAGAAGTCCACCTTTCATCTGCTTCACATCAAGTTTCTGAAAAAACTCTTTTGAAGATGGGTTGATATGAAATATACCGTTATATATTTCTTCTATTTCTGTTGCCGCCCCCAAAACTGTGGAATAGTCTACCTCTGTTCATTATAGCAGCTCCTTCATTGGAAGTTTTTTAATCAAGTCTATTTTTACGCCTTGGCTTTTATCACCAATTGAGGTTTACCATTTTACTTTTAAATGTATGTGTATTGTATGCTGTTTCCTTGTATTTTTTTCTTTTGTGCCCGTGGAGCACTTTGGGCAGCTGGTGTTGTTGTAAAAGTGCTATACAGAATAAAGCTGACATTGACATTAGCTGTGGTAGCTGCACTTCTTCAATAGTCCATTATAAGCACACAGAATGTACTTGTATCCTATAAAATATTAGCCTTTAGATTTCTTATTCACTGTTCAATTTCATATACTATTCTGAAGCCTGGAATATAAACTGGTGTAAGGGCTCGCTTCAAATATTTAAGAAAACATATTCAATAACGTTACAAAACAACTGAGATTTTATCCAAGAGGCCAATAAACTCATAAATACATAATGTGCCTCATCCTTATTCATTCAAAATGTATTAGACTGAGGCAAACAAAACACATCTTATCCGTTACTAACAATTGTGACTATATGTGATGCAGGAGTAAGCAGCCCATCCAGCTGAATGTTTGGAACACTGTCAACCTGGAGCGCTCCAACCGAAAAGGAGAAATTATGGTCAACAAGAAGGACCCGGTCCGAGGGGAGGCACCGGTGAGCTGCTGCGAACTTCCATCCTGCTAATGCCTACCGTGTATATAGTGGATTTAGCATGAGGGGATAGCCAACCTGTGCTATGCTGCGCCTTGCTCGCTTCATAAACCGCATTTGTCTCTTGCTTTTTTTCATTTCCTCGCTGTTACCTCTGAGTCTGACCTTATCCAGCCCAGAGCTTCAACTTTACCACAGTTGATTTAGCAAACTTTCCTCATCGCTTGAGTTTTTGTTCCCTCCGCTTCACAACACTTGGCTTGATTTGCTGAGAATACCCCACTATCTCTCGACATCTGTCAAGGTACGAGGGATGCAGTGGGTTGGTCTGACAAGCTGCCTTAATTTTTCGAAGTCCGCTTTCTGACACACCCCAGATTAGAGTTAGTGCTGAATAAAATAAAAAAGTTTTTATAATGCATTTGAAGGCTGGGAGATAAAGTCCGATGGAAGGATCTCCTCAGCCATTAGGTACATACTTATTTTCCATAAGAGGCATATAATCGCTTGATAAGTCGTCCAATTATATGAAAAGGCGTCATTTGCAAACACGTACATGCACTCAGTCAACTCTTCTTCGCATTTTTAAAATATTTTTATCTCACTACTTCAACCCTCCGCCACCGCCCCATCATCTTTATGTAAATTGTGCTTCGCTGTAGCAAGAGAAGCAGAAAATCTTATTAAGAGAGCAGAGCAAAGAGAGGCGAGTGCGTTGGAGGGTCTGGAGGGACAGGGAAGCGCCAGCTAATGCTCCCCACTTCACTCGGCTATAAGAAGAAGTTTGAAGGAGCATACCCTGGACAGAATCCCATCAAAGAGGGTCACATCTACAGACGCTGGGGAAAATCAAAGACACCGGCATGATGGAACAGCATGCAAAGATGAAGCTTGGATATGAAAGTGGTTGTAGTGGTGGTTATTTTTGCAGAGAAGTAGTTTGGTAGGGTTTCATGAGGACAGCAATTGAACGCTATATTTACGTGCCAAAAAGAATAACCTTACAGCATGTGGTAAATAATTGGATAGATAACAGTGGTGGTGAAAGTACAAGTCTCAGGTATAGATAAAAGTAAAAATAAATGTATCGCAGAACAAGCTTTTGTATTTACAGTCCAAACAATGCTTTTGAAAGACTTGCACAACAGACAGAGAACAGGATTGCTGATTCCGCTTAGCAGCTTTCAACGGTTGGTTGTGATTTTGGCGAAAATAGAAGTATTGCAGTATCGCTAAGATGATGTGAAAGACAGAAGAGGACAGGCGTAACACAAGGCAAAAGACAGGAGAAGATGAAAAGAAAAATGTGGAAAATGTTCAATAAATTCTCCCTAAATACATTTTTTTTAAAAGACATAGTTACTTTCCACCTCTAGTAGACCCATACACAGTGCTACACAAACAGAAGTCTTTGGATGATCAGAATATACACAAGATTAGATTGAAAACACCACTGTGCCAAAGCGTGCACTAGCTCACTAGCTGTTCTGATGAAAAGCTGTTTTTGAGTTTGCTTGTCTCAGCCTTTGATTCACCAGTATCGTATCCCCGTGAGCGGTCAGTACACAGCTGGTGCTCAAGATGGTGACAGAAATTAGTTCCATGAGGCAGAAGTAAAGTTTAGCTATCTACAAGTCCAAACAACACAAGCTGGTCTTCGTAGTGAAAACACCAAGTTATCAAAAAATGATCCGCTTACACATCATGATATTCCGCCGATCCTCACACGTCAACGCAAGAAAATACAACAGTACGAATATCTCTTCCAAGCTTTTTTGGGTTGTACAAATCGGACTGCTATGTGTTCCGAATATGTCTACCATTAAGAAAGCTGCTGGAAATCTCCAAATGGGGTTGAGTTAAAAGCACTTTGCACAGCCTGTCACCAGCAATGGTTTCCTTCTTTTCTTTTAATGACACCATCTGCTTCATGCATGTTTTTAGTGCATCTGAAGTGTAGATGTTGTTTACTGTCTAGTTTAGTGCATAGCGCATGTGTCTTCTTTATTTAATGCACTCCTCCGCTGCCGCTGCTGTGTGCATAATGCCCTTTCTGAATGCGTTGAGTGCTTTTGCATGCCTCTCTGTGCACAACCACTCACTAGTCTTCCCCTAATAACTCTCTTCCTCCCTATTTTTCCCCAATCTATGATGCGCTGTCTGGAAAATAAGAAATCACGCAAGGTAATGAGACAGACCCAGTCACACCTTTCACCATATTTCACTTGTCCACTGAGCACTCACATCTCTACCAGCACATTAAAGAGGAAAAACTGGGTTAGCTTCATGGGACATTATCACAAGAAGACCAAGAGAGGGGAGATGGCGTCTTGGCTTTCACCTCGGTCCATCTGCTGCGTGGGCGGCAGGAGGTGGGAAGGTGGGAGGGAAGGAGAAGCCATCTTCACGGCAAGCATTGTTTTGTGCCACAATGAGATGTCTTCATGACTTTGGTGTAGGCGAGTGGATCCTGCCAATCAACACCCAAAGCACGACTGCACAGTACCCGGGGGCCCAGGCCCTGCACAGGACAGTAGGAGGTGCTAAGCCAAACTGAGATGTTCTTTTATCATTTTCCATCCCTGGTTACCAAAATAAATAGTCCTTGATATCACTGTCAAATCTTCAAAATTTAGACATATTAGTCCTAATGCATTACTTGTTTACCAGTGACAAGGACATGTATGTGTTTAGTATAATGTGATTCAAAAGCATAGCAGTTAGTTTAAAGAATACATTATTACACAATCATTACAAACATGTAATGAGACTGTTTACTAGTTTTAGAATGTAAACCAATATTTCGGGTAGTTATATATTTGGTGAAAGAAGTGTGAAGTGTATATGATGCCTGTATACACTTCACACTGCTCATATCAGAGGGAGGAGTTGAGGTTGTTTTTCTTTGATTTTGTAATTACCGGCTGCAAATACAGCCATGTGATTTCAAAGAACATTCTTATTACCTCATGCTATTAAAAGACTGTGACAGGAGCGACAGGAGGGAGGACAGATGAAGTTACATTAATTTGTGATATTTGCTTTGATGGATATAAAGACAGCTCCACGTTAAAGATGAGGGAACAATATCGTAACATGGGACAAACATGTTGCATAATACGTCTCCTTTAACATAACAATGCTGTGGTAAATCACGCTGGTAGAAGCCTCAGCAAGAGCCTGTAGCACTGATTGTTAGCAGACCGTTAGGAGACCTTGAGTGTGCGTTTGAAGGCTTCAGTCCATCTGGGTCCAGAGCCTTGACCCTGGTCTGCCCTGTCTCTGTTACACCACTGACAGCCTGAGGTCAGACCCCGACTATGCTGCCTTCTCTCCTAATCTGTGTGCAGAGCTTGTTTATTTCACCATTTCCACCATTTTCACGGCAATTAACTCCACGTAAGCCCTGTGGCATTAACTGCCCTACATAAATTTGATATGATTAATTTCTTTCCTCTTAAGGGGGCTTGCACTCTGAGGCAAAATGAGGAACCCAACGGCAATTGTCCCAAAGGTCTAGCAGAATAAATTGCAACTCCTCACCTTTCTCACGCAAATCAAATACTTCATGTGTTCACTGACAGACTAAAGGACACTGTTTATAATCAGACATTATTTAGAGTTTTTAAATGCGCTGTTATCCTGATTCCAGTCTGCCACTGCTTTTTAGTGACTTATCATTACCAACATAAAATCTATTATTTTACCACAATTCTATAATTTCCAAAAGCCAAGGGAAGATGCCGGTTAACAATTATAAACACAGCTGTTCTTTAATCAGTGTTATAATTAAAAATGGCTCTAGAATTTAGATGAATGAAAAACAATTTGCCTGTTCCCTGTGACTAATCCAAACTTCAAAAATAAATCATTTAGATGTGTATTATTGAATGTTGACTTGAGTTGAGGGTGTATTTATTTCGAGTTCAATGTACATCAAATCATCCATTTACAATTACTTATTATAACACTGAACATCATTCAAACTCGAAAAGGAGTGGGAAAAAAACATATAAATTCCCACGTACGTCCGTGTGTCTTTTTTTACAATTAAATATATAGTGTGTGTTCCTATGAAACAGTGGTGATGTTGTTTGTATGTTACTGTCTGCCAGAACCTCCACGTGGACCTGAACCTGAAGGAGTCTCTGTTTGTGGGCGGAGCTCCGGACTACAGCCGTCTGGCCCGAGGAGCAGCTCTCACCGTGGGCTTCAAGGGAACCATCCAACAGGTAAGCACTACTGCACTTACACAGGGCAAAGACACACTGCTTTTTCTTATTTAGTCCGCAATAAATTAACTTTTGCTTTATATAGAAGTTGAAAAAAGCAGGGAGAAAAACGAGCAGTAGAGAATAAAACAAGAAATACTGAAGTGAAAGATGTAGCCGAAAGAATATGAATGATACAAACAATGATATTAGTAGGATGACTAGGATGAAGCTACTTTTATTGTTCTTCAATTTGTTTTTATTTGTGTACTTTGTATTACTGTTGTTATTTACAAGTTGCTTTGGGGGAGTGTCCTTTTGCCGGTGTAAGAAAATATTTAAAAATATGGAGGTTAGATGGTCCAGGTCGTCAGTTGAATATCATCTCCCACAAGCAGTGCCTTTGTGTCTTTGGGCATCATATTTTTACACAGAAAATAACGTGCAATAATTTGTAGAATGTGTAAAGCAATGGCAAGACAAGGCTAGTTTATTTGTACTGCACAGATTCATACACAAGGAAACTCTAAGTGCTTAACAAAACAAGATAGAAAGAATCATAATAATCATGCTACATAAAAGGGATGATTGTTTATAAAGCGCTTTAACTGCCCTGTACAGAAATAAAACCTCTTTGATACTTTTTGAATACATTTTGACAAGTTCAATTCCCCCTCTTGAAGTTGCATTGATGAGGTAGCCCCAGAGTCTTGACAAGTGGTTATAATGGTTTTCAAAATGTTAAAGCAAAATTCAAGTCCTCGAAATGTATTAATGGATTAAATTTGAAGGTTTTCTGCAGATGACTTATTCTGAAGTCCAAAAAGTTTGCCAATAATTACTTTTGCATGGGTGAAAAACACATTTTCTATTTCTTGAACTATTACTGTCCATGTCGGTACCTGAACAGAAAACGGGAGGTTCTGAAAAAACTCAGCAAAAACTCAAAAAACCTATTAGAACAAGAATATCCACTTCAAAGGTTTTTGAAAAGTTGGAAGAATTTATAAGATTTTTAGGGTCAAAAGGTAAGATAAATGTAATGTTGGGGCTGTCTTAAAGAGCTGTATGTAACAATCTGGCCAAAAGTGGTGCTGCAAGCTCTCCCACTCTCCTTGACTCAGGTTGCCAGATATGCATATGAATCCAGCTGGGACCATAATAACTGCAACAACAAATCTATAACCAACACTTTTTTTCACAAAGGCTCCATGTTTTGTTGTTATTGATGTGAGAATCATAACGAGGCCTTTTAAGTACAGCTGCCACATGATCCCTTAGCTCGACACGGTGAGTGCTGGCAAACCAGATCACGAAACTTTCTGATTGTTAAAACGGTGGAGGGCAGGACATCAAAATGAAAACAATAACAAGATTTAGGGGCTGTAAAACTAATTTGAAACTCAAAAATCTCGGCTGAACTCTTGTTATTAGTTAGAGAAGAATTGGAAATGGTTTATAAATGCCTTTTGACAGATTTTTGCTGCTCACTTATTTGTTGTCCCATGTATATGCTTAGTCAGAAGGTTGACTTTAAAATGTGTCCCAAAAAAAGAGTTAATGCATTTCCTCCGACCTATGTCCAAAACATATTGCAGACAGATGCAGAATACTGTCTTGTTTTGTACCGCTGTCAGTATGTTGACCAGTGCCACAGCTTTGGATTACTGTTCACTATTTATAGAACATATATTTGAAGCCCAACCGTTTCACCGCGCTCACATCTCCCAACAACAGCTTTCCAGGTTTTTTCTCCCCTTTTCTTTCCAGCAAAAAAAAAAACGACATCTCCTTGTGCCAAAAATAACCCAAAAGAAGAAAGACGGGATGTTGGTGTTTGCACAAAGTTGTCATTAGTCCTCTCCTACAAAGTTTCCCCTGACAGCGGAGAGTAAACCAAAAGCAAAAGTGTGGCATTTGTCTGCGTCTGTGCACAGGGACCAGTTAATTATGAGAGTGGTTTGAAGTTGTGTTTAACGCTTGCTGTTTATTTTTCACGCCGCATATTTAGAATTCTTTTTCTTGCGAGCTGACATATTTACATAAAGAAGAATACGGAAGTGTGCGCTAAATCTACAGAATTACCCTGCCAGTGTTTTTAGATAATTACCCTCTGAAAGAAGCAAACAGATTGCAAAACCACCTCTATTAACTTGGAAATCTTAAGTGTTTTTGTTCCAGGGTAAGAAATCAGATAACAAAACAAAGCATGGGAAGATAAAAGTCGGGTGGAAAGGTTAACAAAAAAATAGCTTTACATAATCAATGCTCAGAGAAAAGGGGATTTAAAGAGAGATGGCATTATAGTTAGTAAACGCTTCAATCAAGGTGGGTTCAAAGCATAATTAGAATTTGGAATGAGGCGGTGTAATTATTTTTACTATGGATTATGAAGGATTATGGAAATCCAAGTGAAGTAATATATATTGTACGTGCAGTTTGTTAAATGCTCAAGGTCACTGCTGACGTGCTGAGACTCGTACATAGTTTTGCAAATTAACTTGGACATTTCATATATTTTAGTTTGGTTTGGAGACCTGTAGAAATGTTGCAGGATAGGGTGGGATTGAGCATAACATTTGACCCATAACTCGACCAATATGGTTTTATTGCATATCCATATTGCATTTCCTGACCATTTTCAAATTAAATTGTCGGTTAACGCTTTTTTCAGCATTTATCCATTCCCACATCTTGTTTAAAAATAAATGTGTGTTTGTCCCTTTGGCCAATCTTGTTTCAAGATAAAATCAAGATAAATTAGTTCTAATTCAACTTAATTTTAATTTCTTGCGTTGAGCTAGAGTAGGTATTGAAACACTAACCTTGAGATTGTTTTTTGAAACTTTTTGTTACGGTTCTATCGTATTTTAAAGAATAATAAGTGATCTTGACCCTGTGTCTTTGTGCAGATGACACTAATGGGGACTCCGATACTTCGTGAGGAGAACGCCCTCCGCTCCAGTAACGTGGCCATGTTCCAGGATCATCCGTGTTCCCAGGAGCCCTGCCACAACGGCGGCCGTTGTAACCCCCAGCTCGAGGTGTACGAGTGCGTCTGTCTCAGCGGCTTCTCCGGGGCGCGCTGCCAAAACAGTGAGTGCACATCTTGTTTATTTTTTATTTTCTAAAAACGACCTCGACTTGCATGCATACAGACTGAACAGAAATAGAGGCTTATGTGTGAGATGGGGGTGGAAAATCATTTCTTTATAGACTCTAAAATGGGTTCCCCTGGTTTATTGTTATGTTGTGTGTTTTTCCATGCTGGAATGGTCACATGAGGAGGTTCAGCAGCAAACCTTTTCACATTTTTTTCAAATAACAGACAAGAAAACATACACAAAAAACATCCAGGACATGAAAATATCAATGGATATGACACTCCAAACAACGTATTATTACTTGTTGAAGCCACAGCACTGAACCAGAGGTTGATGGTAGCCTCTTTGGTGATCTGGATACATACTCTGTGGACAACTTTAACTAAGCAATGCTAAAGTCATGACGGCGAGACAGCCAGTGAGGGGGCTTCCACTGCTGATATCAACTCGTGAAACTTTTTAGCGATACCATCTTTTTTTTAAGGATGAAGAATGAAAACCAACCCAGAAGTCAACACAAGAATACAGTACATAGCCTCGTCCTTCCCCAATATTTTGAAACCATTTATGCATTTTATTTACTATACTTTGCTAAAGACTTCTTGGCTGATGCCCAGTTCTGCAATTCATGTTTGGGTATTAAATATTGTGAAAAGTTAAGCTCTGGATAAAGACTTGCTTCTCTATTTGTCCTTAAAAAACAGGAACAGTCACATCCACAGCCAGTTTGAGTTGGATTGCTTTTAATATGATAATATGCTTGGCTTGTTCAGAATAAAGTGGGACAGGAGTCAGCAGCGCTTTATGTAAGTCTAGTTCTTGGCTTGCCTTCCCAGTGGAATGAAAAACGATTCTTTGTGTGAATACTGTACAGACCTGCTGGGCTCTCTCTCACTCTCTCAAGATACAAGTAGTGGACGGATGCTGTCTCTGCTGAGCCTGAGCCAGATTTTTTAAGGCTGTAGTGAAAATGACGAAATATGTGATTTACATATTCATCAAATGTTCCTTCTAAAGTAGAGTTGGCTGCCTTTTTCATCATCTGCGGGCATCTAGAGTCTCAGGTCCACATCACTCATCCTTGCACCATTGCTGCCTCCCACATTAACCTTGTGCGTGACGGCCCAACCCCTCTCATGTTAATTAAAACTACAAACCTCTGGCCCATTTGCTCGCCGGGCCGTTTCCACTCAAGCTCCGCTATCTCAAGCCTCTTTTATTGATTGGTATGATCTCATTCCCTGAAAAATTTCCCTCTCTTCCAGCAATCTACGAGAAATCAGCCGGGGAGACGGAGGCCATTGCCTTTGACGGGCGGACATTTATTGAGTACCACAACGCGGTTACAAAGAGGTAAAGGAGAGGACACACCCACATCGTTGTTGTAAATCTAGCTTTATTAGGCCAGTGCACTGTACCTCAAACATGCAAAACTTTCGGTGGCATTTAAGCAAGAGGGCAGCGTGAACTGGCCTTTCTCTTTGTCACACTCGTTATGGCATGGTTTCACTAATAAGGGGTCTGCAATCTTCTGACACTAAAAAAGTATAATTTCAATGTAAGACAAATGAAAAAATAGAATGCAAAGTGTATTCGAATGGGACAGTGCATGCAATGAACAGACATACAGTATTAGAAACATGAATGTACACAACGGCTAATTTCCATCTGTATTCCCATAAGGTTGAGGTCGCAAGGAACAACAAACCAAAAAACACACATTAACATAACTTGTATTCCCGCACAGGCCACAGTCCACACATTCATAATCCGCCAAGAGTCCTCAATTAGTATCAATTACATGTATTTAACGTTGGAGTGCCTTAGTGTCCTCCTCCTAGACATCATTTCTTATTATCTGGTACATACGCCACCATGATAGATAGATAGAAAGATAGATAGATGGATATGATAGTTTCTCTGTTGACATAGATAAGACTTTACTAAGTGCAAAGACAGTGTTTGCAGACCCCTGAGAATCCTCATTCCTCTGACACTGGACAGATACATCAACCAAAAAGTTTAAAATCAAGTTATTTTCTGACACCTACTTTCCAATGAGTAAAAGGCACCCAGGCAAAAATAAAGTCCAATCTGGGCCTCTTTAGCTACACTGTAAACACGGCCAACATAGCTCCTTCTGAAGACGAGCCACCTGCAATCTGAGAGGAAACATAGATGATGCCAGTGTCTCTGGAGTGTGTGAAAACAACTCCAAAAGAAAGAGCGCGATGGCTTTAGGCTGCTGATGAGACGACTCTGCCATCCATCAATGCGTTTGGATCAGTGCCTCCAGGTTTGGCATGAGCGGAATGTTTATGTGGCTCACCTGAAAAAAAAAAAATCAGACATATGGTTCTATATACGCTCTCCACACAAGCACTCCACTCTCAAAAGCACCCTCACGACTCTCAAGAGGAGCAACACTACGTCTGTGTCTGTCTTGTCCTGTGTGTTTCCTGGCTGTCCACGTTTTGTTCTGTCTCACGTCAATGTCCTTCACTGTTTCCCTCAAGCCAACTGAACAATGAGATCCCAGAGTAAGTAATCCCAGCCAATAAGCTTCAAGCCCGACTAACACTTTAGAAAAAACCAGCCATCGTTTCCAGTTAACACTTTTATATGAGATTATGGCACATCTCGTTTCCCACCATAATTTCATTGGTATCTTTTTTCTCAGATCATTTTGAGTACGACTTTACACCAGAGTTCCATATCCGTAATTTAATTTGGCAGATCTCATTCTCTCCCCCAGTCATTAGACGTTCTGTTGATTCCGGTGTGAATGGGAAGCATGAATGTGTGCATGATAAGCATTGTGCTGCAGCCCCAGAGGAAAGCTCTTCTACAAAATGTGTCATATTTTATGCATGTCTGTAACCGTTTGTAAACAAAACAGGCTGCGTTTGAGAATAGCCCCCTTTGGGTCGGAAAGGTATTAACTGCAATTAAAAGATCGGCTCTTATCATGTCAAATTAAAGACTGTTGAACGATTTATGAGTGTGTTAAAGTTGTATTCAGTTTACGGCTGTAATACTGAAGTGTCGTTGATAATTAATCGAATAGTAGGCCATCCATTTTTCTTGAGATGAATCAATTATTTGTTTAGATCCTGAAAGCACAGTGAATATGAGATTTTTAAAATAGAAAATAAAGCTCAATTGATGCCCCTAACATCTCATAGAGTTTACTTGTTTGTAAAAATATTTTCAATTCCCCTTTAGTCCTTATTGAATGATCGTAGACAAAAAAAACTCTTTTCAACAGGTTTAAGTCCAAAAATAAGTATTTCGACTACTTCAATACATTTTATAATCTGTTGTCAGACTAATATCATCCATACACTCTCGGGTAAATTGTTTCCCTATGTCTGTTAATCTACTATAATTCTGCCTGAGACATTGTGTAAAGGATGTTTGTGTCTCTTAAACCGCCTTTACCTGTTGGTAATGCCCTCAGCCTGACAGAGCTTTTCTTCCTGGCTGTTAGTTCGATTAGTTAACTCTGCTTAAAATCAGAACAGAGCTCAAATGAAGGCCAGAGTTTTCCTCTGCTTTTCGGCCGGTGTTAGTCTACCCGAGCTCTCACTGTAATCGTGAATAATTACAGAGCCGTCCGTAGCGCGCCGCTCTGACATGTTAATCACACATTGGTCTCCCTGTGTAGATTAGACCTCCGATCGAGATCTGGACGCTGTGTGAAGCCAAGGGCATCAATCTCACTTAGCAGGGGGGGTAGTGGGCCTTGGAGCCAGACTGTCAAAAGTTTAATAGATGTCACATTTAGTACGAGTCCCGATGAGCGGGAAGCTAAGCAAAAGCAAGAACTGGCCGACCCCTGACTGCTCGATCGATCCTCTCTGTTGTGATTTAGTTAAAGGGATGAATACATTTCTCCAGAGGCCATTAAGGGCCCTGTTGAGGCCAATGACTGGCTAGCACTCACCTTGGGTTAATGTTTGCGCCACTATTTGATCACCTCCTGTTCGCGTGGATGAAAGCCCAGGTCGATGCGCTCACAGACCATTATTTTTGCCACAAATCAGATCTGGCCCTGGCACTGAACCAATGTGGAGCTTGACCCCATTTTTTGACAATTGACCAATTTTTCTTTCTCACCACAAGAAGGTAATTGAGGCTGTACTCCGCGGTCCGCCACCTTAATACACAGAGAGGCCTATAATTGCACATTGACTTGTAGCAGCCCTTGTAGCATTATGGACATGCAGTGTAAATCCAGTTGATTGTGTGGCTCTTGTTTAAGGAGAGATCATAGGAAGGGAGGCAGTTCCTATTGATAGATGTGGAAGTTTATGCTCAAGAAGTGTCATGTACATATGTCTAAAAGTATGGACAGCAGTGTGATAACATGAAATGGGAATTGTGTCTGATTTCTGTCTGCTGCCAATGGCGTTATGCAATCACATGAGCTAATCACAAATGAAAAAGTGGAGAAATAGCTAATACCTGGGGGATTTCTAGAATGAAAAAATATATATAGATTTTAATCTACAAAAGTGGGGGTTTACCACAAGCGGCACGGTGGCTGAGTGGATAGCACTCTCGCCTCTCAGCAAGAAGGTCCTGGGTTCGAATCCCGGTCGGTCCAGGGCCTTTCTGAGTGGAGTTTGCATGTTCTCCCCGTGTCTGCGTAGGTTTCCTCCGGGTACTCCGGTTTCCCCTACCACTAAAAATATGTCCAATAGGCATGTCTGGCGTGAGAGATAAAATGCCCAAAAATAATAACAATTGTAAACCGCTTTGAGACTCAGATCTGCAGTGAAAAGGCGGTATATAAATAAAGATTACTTACTTAAAGATTACTTACAAGCCTATGGGGATGTTCTACAATATTATAATTACATCTCAATGTACATTAGCCCATAAAAGTAATCATTTGGGGCTGTCTGCCAAAGGTGGCAAGTAACCGTTTTCTGGTATGTTTTAATTACAGTATACTCCTTACTTTTAAACGCTACTATTTGTACTTCCTACTCCTTACATGTTTTAAAATAGTTGCATTATTTTGCAGATGACAACAAAACATTAAAACAGAAATGTGGTGTGAACCGCAAAGCTGCTCTGCACAATGTTTGTCCAATGCTACAAGGACTGATACAAGTTTGAAGTGGTTAGCTCTGCTTCTAATTAATTGGATGAATTGTGGCTTGCCATTTTTCTAAGTTTAGTATAATATACCAGTTGCATTTGACTACACACTTTGTTCATAGTCATATTTTGTGTATTTCGTGGGCAATGATTTAAGTCTCACATTGATATGATAGATGTCTGTCTGTTATTTAATATATTTGAACAGACATGTGATTACAAAGAACATAATTGTTTTATAATCCAGAGCACTCTGAGGGTGATGTCATGGTGGTACAAATGCTTTATGATATTATAGGACTGAGGCAGGAGCTTTTAGACAGCAGAGGCGGAGTTAAATATCAGATTCCAAGTTCCACATATTAGCAGTGATGGAGCTAAAGACAACTCCAAGTCAGTAAAGAACTGTAATCCTTTTTGTGCAGTTCTTTACTTTGACTAGTACTAAGACTAGTTACTTTTTCCACCTCTACCACATGATAGAAAGAATTGTAGGGACGAGGTGTGACTTACATCATCTACAGTGTTCACAATCATCATATTTCTTTTACTTCCCAAAGAGAATAGACAGATGCGTTTTGAATTGTTGATGTGCTGAATACTGAAGCCCCTCCCTCACTCCCCCTGTCCTCTGTGCTCTTGCATGTCGTTGACTCCTTCCCTGCTTCCTCCCCTAAGCCCTGAATCTCTGGAGAACCCCTCCGACCAGAGGTAAGTCTGTCAGTGCTCTTCATCCTTCCCTCCTCACCTCATCCTCTCCTGGCAGCTCAGCCCTGGCTCTCACAGGGCCCATAGACTCCAGTGGGAACACATCGTGGCCATTATGGAGACACACATCCCATAATCCAAATAGCCTCTGCTCCTGTTCCTCTTATTATTAAGCAGGGACTCGTGTGACACTAAATATGAGCGCTACTGCCCCCTAGAGTTGAAGATAAACACAACTGTATTAATCTAAGCTAGATTGCAAAATCCGTCATGATTAAACCATTTCTTATGTTTCTCCAGGCCAGCCACAGTTCATGAAATAAAGATATTTTCAATACTGAAGGACTATTTTCTTGCATATGTAGTTTACAGCATACTGCACAGCTTTTATTGGGAGAAACGACGGCTGGGCAATATGGCAAAAAAATGTAATCTTGATTTTAAATCACATTTATCATTAAGATTTGTTTTTTTCATCATGGTCACAGATGTTAGTGCAGTCTTTCAAATGGAATTAGCTCATTAAAACCTCATTTTATTAATTTCAAGATAAAATAAAGGTTAAATTTAAACCACACTTTCATAATTTTGTAATGTTCCACTATATAGGTTTTTATAAACACTGATTAATTTCAGTAATTTGATTAATTTCTCAGCCTCAGGTGAAAGCTAGTGCTGCGCATAAGTGTGTTTTTTCATTAACAAGCTTTTTCAGATCTTTGTGCCTGAGAGAAACAGAGGTAATCTCTGGCTTCACTTGTGTTCCATGATTTGGAACGCGCTGCTCCGGTGTTGTTGTATTCATAACACATTTGGAACTTTTAATAACCCTGACCTTATCAGTGACAGACTGCTCACTCTGAGATTTATTGGTCCTGTGTAAGCTCTGCAATGATTTTCCACAAGAGGAGTCACTCTACTTTCTTCATATATCTCTACTTTCCTACTGTTCTGTACTGATGGCCACATTTAGAGGGGACCAAGATTCCAGCCAAAGCACGTTTTAGAAAATCAAATTTGATTATGGAATTGAGGCGATGTTATTGTTGTCCAAGAGTCATCCCCCCTGCGGCCAGAACCAAATCAACTTAGATTTCCTTTCATTGATTCACTTTAAATCCACTGGGAAGGCCACAGACTAGTCCTAACAGTCCCTCCCTGTAGCCCCGAATTCTGTCCCACTTGTCCCCCCATGATGCTCTCTGTTTGTTCTCCTTTGTCCTTTGTCTCGTGTCCTTGTCTCGTCTTGTGTGTCTCTGTCTGTGTTAAAGTAAACGTCTGAAGTGCTATCAGATACAATAATGCGCACTGCACGCACTAACAATGCCACCTCATACTAATATGTTGCCACGGTAACAGTGGCGGTGTTCCAGATGTCATCTAGAGTAGGATTTCACGTCTTGACAAAATGTGTGGTTTTTTGGGAGAAGTTTGACATCGGAGCAATGTGTTTTATTGGGTTGCCTGATTTATAAAACCACCAAAAAATTAACGATATAATCAAACCCATGTACCTAGTTTCTGGCTCTAACGAGTTGCCGCTTGCATATGTTTGTTACATCTTTTATATAGGCTTTTTTAAACAGGAAAGGGAAAAAGAGAGGACCAGCCTCAGCTCTGAGCTCAAAACATGAAAAAGTCACTCACAAGTATGCAAAAGAAAACATGTTTTTTACTAACATGAAGATGAAGCATGTTGTGGTCTGGTTTCTTCAGAATATTTTACTTTTCTAGACTGTCGGGACAAATAACATGGGTTATTTTTGAGGGGGATGAAAGTTAGCTTTAAAAACACTTGCGGTCATATTTTTTGCTATTATCTTCACAATTATCTGATTCTTATTTTTATTTGTGATTTTTGTTAAGCATCTTTGAGTTTCCAAAAAGAGCGCTATATCATGTATTATTATTATTATTATTATTATTATTGGACTACGTTTTCAACTAAATGCATTATATATTCCAGCTAAACTGTATCGAGTCAGCAGAAAAAAATGAAGTCAGCGGCACACACTTTTATGATTTTAGCGGTGAAATGAAATCTTCATTATCCACCTATGAGGAGAAGCATCACACTCCACTATAAATGAATAATTCTCTCTGACCGTATAAATGTGCCATAAATAAGAGATGCTCAGATGCAGTCTGCGAGCCACATAAACTCTGACCTTGTGAAGTGAGATGCTTCAGGCACATTTTGAGACCACGTCAATGATAAAAGCCTCCCTCATATACAGTATGATAAAATTTGATCTAAAAGGTGCTCATTTCTTTCGATGCAGTTTTACTTATGTTGAAATCCACCACATTGAAATGCATTCATTTATTGTTTTGAATCACCTACAAATTACAAAAAATATAAGTTCAACCCAAGGACGTCTGACACATAGCCCTGAAGCCAAACTTCTCCTAGTGCCTTGACTGACGTTGCCTACTTGACTTATTAAAAAGTCAAACTGTGCTATGAAACTTTGCTAATCCCCAGAGGTACACGGAGGTGAGATGTGTCTGTTGCGAGTTTGCCTACTTACTGTATCTCTCCGGGGACTTCGCATTCACAGACACAGCAAAGTGCCACTAACCTCGCCTTTTCCTGGGCTTAAACTCTCAAAAATCTCCCCTCTTTGCAGACATCCAGATGGGGAGATCAAACAGCAGCCCAAAGATATGTAGAGGAGGCAGCCAAGCGGTTTAGCATCAGCAGGACTAATATCATACCCCCGCTATTACTGTGCTCCCCCAACATCCAGATTCAGCCCAAATGACTGCAATTCTATCACTGACTTGTGCCACAGCTCAAAACGCCAGTGGCAAAATACAGTCATTAAAGGGATGATGCACTTGCCAGCATCTTTCCAATCAAATTATCCATCGCAACAGTTTGTGATTTCTGTACATATTAAGACACATTGAATCTTTCTCACAAAGTCTCTCCATTCTTTTGTTTGCACTCCTTCTGCTTGGATTCATAGTACTGTCGAGATTACTATAGCATATATGCAAGCAAGTCCAGAATACATTGCCTAAAGCTGCACCGTGTATAATTCCCACCAGAACAAGGCCCCGGGTTCTCATCTCTGGAAAGCGAGTTGTACGAAATGGCTGTAGCTCTAAACTATGTGCTTCTGTTCTGCTGTGTAGTGAGAAAGCCCTGCTGGTGAACAAGTTTGAGCTCAGCCTGCGGACCGAGGCCACCCAGGGGTTGGTTCTGTGGAGCGGGAAAGGCGTGGAGCGCTCGGACTACATCGCTCTGGCCATAGTGGACGGACATGTGCAGATGACCTACGACTTGGGTTCCAAGCCGGTGGTGCTGCGCTCCTCTATCCGCGTGAACACCAACCGCTGGATACGCATCAAGGCCAGCAGGTGAGGTTTGATACATGCAGGATGACAGCCAGATTTCATTGAATTTCATCATCGCACACGGAAAATAAACTGTGTGGATCTTAATGTTGTATGTTGCTGGGCTGAGGGGAGGTTGACGACACATCAGCGCAGACAGTATAAACCATGGGTGTCAAATTCAAGGCGCGGGAGCCAGATCCGGCCCACAAATGAATTAACCTGCGGCCCCAGGGATGATTTTTGATTATTATTATATCCAGCCGCACCGAGCCATAAGAAAAGATTGGATTATTAATTTAATCACTACATAAAATACAGTACACTGTGTTCCCTTTAATAGGTTTTAATAAACATTGAACAAGTCCAGCCCTCGGCTTGTAGCAATTTTTTTTTCCGCCTCTGATGTATTGACTTTGACATCCCTGGTATAAACGCTGATATTTACACTACGGCCTTGGAAGGATAATCTCTGGATTGGGAAAACGCTCCAGAGTTTGGACAATTGAACTCCGGGTATAGCTGCATGTTTGATGATACAGATAGATACATTTGTTGTACAGTATTTTAGCCAAAGGAATACAGGATTTTGAAAAAGGTTTGGGCTTCAAATAGAGCTACACACAAAAAAATTGGTTGGTGCGTTATGACAAATCCTTACAATAATACAAGTCATGAGCTGAGGTGTTTTATGCTTCTGAATTAGTTTTGGGAATTTCTCAAAACTGAGTGCCCTCGAAAAGACTGCACCATGTTGAAAATATAGTAGAATGCAATGTCTTCTTCCACTAGATAGCAGTGTTGGCACACTCTAACAACGTTGACCATCAGACATTTTTAATGTTTTTTACTGGTACTTCTGAACATGAATAGCCAGAATTATTCTGAAGACCTTGTTTTAAATCAACACAAATATTACATACAAATTCTCTATGGAAGAAACAGCCAAACAGAAATGCACATATACCGCTACTTTTCAACTTTATTCACATTAAGTTGTGATGACAAATCACCTTTCATTTTATGTCTGTTTCAGTTTTAGGATGTGAGACCAGACACAGCTTTGAAGATCAAAACCTCTGCAATATGACATTTCACAGAGCTTTCCTTTCATGAAATTCTCAGCTTCACCTTAAAACTATAGGCTCATTGTTGCGATGTTGTGTAAACATAATGTGATCTTGAATGCGAATGGGCCGCCGGTGTTCACCACGCTCCCAGATGGTGATTAGTTTCACATAAAGGTTATTTTTTATGGGTGCTCATGCATGACCATGACACACAGCACGTCGGATTGCTTAGATGCATTAATAAATGTTCAAAAGAAGGAACATGTCGGAGCGCCTTAGCATTAAATGACACATTAGGAAAGCAGGGCACACGGCGGATATAAATAAAACAGTAATGGTACTACTTCCAGCATGTATTCAGGATTTACATCTGTGGAATATGTAAGAGCCAAGGCATGATAATCTATAATCCAGGAATATTAAAGAGGCACATTCAAGGTGTTTTTCTAAGCGCACATTCACATGATTTTAACATGAGATCCCATTAGGCCTCTTCAGACTGTTCAATTAAGGTGCACACAAATAGGACAGCAAGATTAAAGCTGGGGTACCTAATTTTTAAGCCACAAAACATCGGCCTGTACAGCATGTCGGTTCTATCCCTAGTTTTCCCAAGTATGTATTTTTTTTCCTTCTGCCTTCTGAAAGTTGAAAATAATGGTCCACCCTCTTTCAGCTCTTAGCCCAAAGGGTCAAATAGTGACTCCTATGGCTCTTTCTTATATGTATATTAAAGATGATATATTTTACATATTATTGTAGAAAGCATGTGTTTGTCTAATTTCTTCACAATATCTTACTTTTACACCACCTTTTTGGGCAGACAAACAATTCAAATAGTCAAGCTCCCTCAAGAAAGCCTCAAAGTGTGAGAGAAATAACATGTCCATCCCATTTCTCATGTTTTTTTTCTCACTGGTTTTAAGGTCTATTACCGCTCCTGTCGATGTTTAACATGTGCATCTCAACTATAATTGCAATTTCAGTTGGATATGATCAATAGTTCAGAAAAGGCTATATTGATTGTTTTTTTTTTTTTTCTTTGGACATATTTGGCGAGGAGTGTAGGTGAGTCCAATATGTTTTCCTTTCCATTGAATATGTCGAGGAAAACAATCCCTGAGGCAAAATCAAATCACTGTCTGCAGAGATTTTTTCAGTTGTGTGCAAGACAAAATTCCATTCGGGACAATAAAGCTTTCATTCATTCATTCAATAAGTAAGTAATAATAATAAGTAAGTAAGTAAGTTAAACCTATGCGGACACGGGGAGAGCATGCAAACTCCACTAAGAAAGGCCCGGGATTCAAACCCTATGACAAACTTTTTTTCTTTTTTTTTTTTGAAAACTGTTTATGCTCATTGACAACCTGCCAGCTTCAAATAAAAACAGCCAACTTCACATAAAGTAGCTGTCAATGTTGCACATGGGAAAACTCTATACTGAACACTAACTATGTGCTGTAAGTATTTATGAAAGCCTTAGGAAGTGAATGAATGAACAAATACAACTCTTTATCCACTTGTTGCCTATTGAACTGGAGCATTATCTAAGCTTTATTGATGTCACAGTAATGGATCTCCTCATTAGGCCTGAAATTCACCGCTGAACTTTTGCTAAACGACCCATTTACCTCCTCGTGCGTCACCTCAGCCTTATCGCCAGCGCGCACTGGTGTCAGCGCTGCGTGAACGAGCGTGCGGGGGATAATTAGATTAGGTTCCATTACGTAAGGGAGGATAATCGATCCACGAGGAGCATCTGCAGCGCACGGGTTAACTGATGAAGGTGTAAATACTAAATTGCGCTCTCTTTGCCTTTTTACGCCACTATCCGCTTGATCCTGCCCCTGTCACTTTGTCACTATTCCTGGCTAATGATGAGTGTAGAAATCTGTAAGAACGGTGCAGTTAGGGAAGCATTTGGCTAAGGCGGTTATAGGAGCAGTTGCCATGTCTCGGATTAACTCAAAAGAGCCATTTCAAGGCTTTGACTGTGAGAATGCATCACAAGGTGTCAAAACTACAGTATTCATTCTGTTTTCTCATTTCACAGAGCACTTAGAGATGGTTCGCTACAAGTGGGAAATGAAGCACCGGTAACAGGGTCGTCACCGCTGGCTGCAACTCAGCTGGACACAGACGGAGCACTCTGGCTAGGTATGTGTATATTTTATTTATATATTCATTTATGTCATATAGATGATGATTGGGATGAGTCTATTCATGAGTCTATCCTACAGAGGCAAAAATCCAGTGTTATTTTTTTTTTTAGTTACACAAACATGTAACTTATCATAAATTGTCATTGTAATTGTGAAGCTAATACCTAATGTTAAGACAAATGCATCCATGTAGTTCCTTGCCCTCAAAACAGGAGCCTGTCCTCTCTCAATGTGGGTCTCCCCAGAGTTTCTTACTTCTTTCCCACTGGTTTCCCACTGAGTTGTTCCTGGCCAATGCAGGAGGGTGTAAGGACATGTATTGGTATCGGTCAAGAAGTGACTTATAGGGCTATTTCTCATATATGCATGCAAAAAGTGAAATGATAATATATGTTCTAAAATCAGGGCAGAATGTTGTGATCTGATTTGTTCTCAATGTTTTTCTTTTACAAGACTCTTTCTGTTGGGGTAAACTGATATTTATGATATAAATATAATCACATTAGGTTCCCCAGTTTTAAGGGATATCTGTTTTTCAGACTTATCCTGATAATTTTGTAACTTTCTTTCTTTGCAGAGGTTAACGGAAATAGTTAACCTCTCTGTCAAGTTGAATACGCAGTACAATGCAGGCAGGTCTACAGTGCTGGAATAGTGAAAGCACAGCAGAAAGCAGCACTGTAAACGCCAAACAAAGCAAAGTTTTGTGTAAGGAAAAAGTTTGAAAAGAGCAAATGTGAGTCCCCAAGTGTAATGCAGAGGATAAGGAAAGTCACAGCACTGCAGAAGGTTCGGGAAAAGTCTCTGGGCTCATTCAGGTATTTTGTGGAGGAGAGAAAGCCTATCTGACATAATGCACTCGTCTGCTCTCCATATGACCAGCATCTGCCCCTTATCTACTTCCACTTCAATTTAGCTCAGAGGAACACACACGCAGCTCCACGGAACCCAACTTTGTCAGGACAGAAGCCTGCTCTGTGCTTTACTGAGGAAAAAAAGAAAGATACAGGTGGATTTTTAACAGTTATATAGAACAGTTATTTGACTCTGTAATAAAATCCATGTGTCTAGTTCCTGGCTGTAAAACGCTTTGGTTCTCAATCTAATCTGATGCACTTTATTTAATAAAAACAAGTTTCCAAAGTGTTGCGCGGAGACAAAAGTATTGTCTTGAAATATACAAATCTATGTACAAAAAATAGAAGTAAGATAAGTAAAACATTAAAGTAGCAGTATGTAAGATTTGTATTTCAAGTCATCATTAAATGGCCCTAATCTGTCAAAAGGCATTAATAAAAGATTGCTATTATTAAAAACTTCTTTAACTGATAACAGTAGTTCAGCTAAGAGATTTTAATATCAAAATTTGTTTTACAGTCCCCTAAATATTATTGTTTTAATTTCGGTGTCCCGCTCTCTCCCGTTTTTCCAATCAGCTAATCTCACTGGTAAAGTACCATGTGGCCAAAGAACTAAAAAAAAAGGTCTTGTTATGATTCTGAAATTATTCATGAAAAAACAAGGAATACAAAAAAGGATTTCTGTTGGGGTCTTGTGAAAAAGGTGTTGGTTATGGATTTGTTGTTGACAAAACTGTCCCAGGTGGATTTGTCTGCATATCTGGCAACCTTCGTCAGGGAGAGTGCAGTACCACCTTTGGCCAGATTTGTACACACTGCTCCTTTAATATGCAATACAAAATATAAAGTAAATGAATAAAACAATAAACATACTAGTTATTTGTATAAAATGAATAAGACAGAGGACAAGAGTGGGGGGGGGGGGGGGGGGGGCAGAGCCTTTCATAGCCACAGAAAGCAGACTGTCCCCTGGATTTTAAGTCTGGTGCTAGGCGCTATGGGTTGGAGCTGCGTCACTTTGTATCCTCTGTCACATGAATAAAGAGAACCACCTTCACTCATCCAAACAGCTCATAGCCCAAAGTGTCAAATATTGACTCTAACCCTAACTCACGTAAAACACGTTATACAAAATTTAACATGTTTTCTATGAAGATGAACACAGTATGTTGTGGTTTGATTTGTTCAGATTACTTTTAAACACTTTCTGTTAAAGAAAAAGAGTAAAAGCCAGTTACTTTTCAAATTGTGAAGAGAGAAATTGTTTAAGCACCAATCAAACCCACTCATTTCACACAAATCTGTAACCAACACCTTTTTCACAAAGTCTTCCCCGATAGAAATCCTGGTTTTATTCCTTGTTTTGTCAGACTTTTTGTTTGTTCTTCAGTCACAGCCCGGATCACAGACTTTTTGATTGGTAAAAGGGTGGAGGGCCTACATCGAAATGAAAACGATAACAAGATTTAGGGGCTGTAAAAGTCATTTTGAAATCCAAATATCTCTGAGCTACTGTTGTCAGTTAAAGAAGTATTGGAAAAGAGCATGTTTTATTAATGCCTTTTGACAAATTAGGACCATTTAATGATGACTTCACATGAAAATCGTACATTTTGCTACTTTAAAACACAATTTGTCTATGAGCTTTCAGTGGTATAAGAGGTCCTTCGGTAACTTAAAGATCCACTGAAAAAGAATAACCTTTCCTATACCAATATTGACCTTTGCACAGACATCACCAGCTTTTTGTATCTATGGGGATGGAGATGCGTTGCCCGGATTGTTCCGCATTTATCTAACTCCGTGGAGACAAACCAGTGACGTCACCGGCCGGCCATCTGTGAGGAGAGAGACTGCATGTATTCACCTTGTTATCTCAGCAATAACTTTTTTTTAACGACTAACTGCAAATTAGATATGTTTATTGCTGTAATTGGGGCGACAGTAGCTCAGTTGGTAGAGCATTGGCCTTTGAGCCTGAAGGTCGTGGGTTCAAGCCCACCTCAAGACCTACTTCACGACTCCCACTGATGACTGCTGTCGTTGTGTCCTTGGGCAAGACACCTAACCCCACTTTGCCTGAAGCCCCCACTGAAAGATCTCAGCTCCTGTGGACTCACCACCTGCAGGAGGATCAGTGAGGGGCTGGTGCTCTGACTGCCACCCCCCCGACCCAGAAATGGATTAAGGGGAAGAGGATGGATGGATGGATTGATGGATATTGCTGTAATTGGAAAATTATAAAGAGAGAGATGGAGGCAAATGACATAATTGGAGATACAAGGAAGGATTTTGATCATAACGGTGACTAAAAGCAGAGTTTGAACAGTGCTATATTGTATAGTGGAGTAATACATTTCAGTATTCAGTATTTCAAGTTGTCAGATGTTATTTTGTAGTTCCTGTAAGCTTATCCATGCTCAAGTAAAACCAAATTGAAAACAAAACTATTCAGCTCAAGCTTTCCCAAAAAATGTGTTTGAATAGAACTTTCAAAATGACACATTAAGAAAGACACTAACGATGAGTCGGGCTGGGAAAATTCAAGCACAAAACATCAAAAGGAGGCAGAAGACGGCAATTAGGTCAAAAGAAAATGAAGCAACAAAGAGAAAAGAGTAGCAACAAAGTCAAAGAGACAAACGGAGAGACAAGTTTGTAACTTTTGTCTTTGAAGTCCAAAGAGGAGTCCACACAGGCTCTTAATAAGTGGAGTCACTTATCAGGGCGCAAAAAACAAGAGCCTTTTAATTTTTTAAGACTAAACCTTTCTCCGTGCCCTGACTGCACAGGGTTTTTAAGGCCTGGGTCTGGCTCTGAAGTGTCTCATGCAGTCTTTCTTCTTGCCAAACTGGTGGCACTTTGGCTATTTCAGGTTCAATATTTTGATGTACAGTAGATTGGGTCATTATTTAACTTATTTCAGATGTAAATAGCCACAAAACAGAACACAAACACACAGAATACAGGACTAAAACACTCTCTGACCATACAGATCCATCCCATTTCTCATTTTGTGCACAAAAGAGCAGTCCTGTTTTAGACCGGACAAACTCTTTAGATCTAGTTTATCATAAATATTTCTCTCCCACTGGGTTTTTGAGTTTTTCTAGCTGATGTAGAAGGGACTATGAACAGGGGAGATTCAGGACTTCTGTGAATATTGGTTAAACCATTATCCCATGGACCAGTGACCGTTCGGAGATATTACACATACAAAATACAACAATACAGCTAGTTTTGTGATTATAGAATCGGTTGACAAATTGAGAATTCTGTGATGCCCTGCCATGTGACATTAGTAGTATCTTTTTACATTTTGTTACTAGTTTGAGAACCAGTGGTCAACTCTATTCTTGAAATATAGAATATGTGAGCAAAGTCATCAGTTGCTTCTTTATAGCAATTTCAGTGTTTGCATTTGTCGTAGGAGGAGTGAGTAGACTCCCTGTTCATTTATCTTTCTTCTCTGTTTGTGAATTTTACTTCCTGTCCGTCTCGTTGATTGTTTGCCCCGCCCTTTTGTGCTACACCTGTGTCTACCTGTGTGTATTTTGACCCTGTCCTCCTCGTCTGGTTCCTGGTTATTCAATCATACCATTTTTGCAGTTCTGCTTTTTGATCTTTACTTGCTTATCCACGACCGTACGTGTTGATATTTCTGGCAGAATAAACAAATATAAACAAAAAGTTTAAAGTAGGTAATGTTTATATGTATCTTTGACGGTTAGTGACAGCCACCAGCTCCTAGCCTGGAAAAAAATAAATAATCTAATGAGCATGTGTTGTATTAATCACCACGCACACTATACCAGCTTGTCAAATCAAAAGCTGCTATTTTTCTTGGCCGTCTGTTTAGTTTTGCCTCTTTTGACGATGAGCGATAAAGCTGGGTGTCGTCATGTCCGTCAGCTGTCATCAAGGATACGGCTGAGTTGACAAAGCCCATCTCAAGTCGCCGTTTATAGTGGAATGAGCTGAGAAACTATTCCTGGCTTTTTGAAGCTCAATGTAATTCAGTGGTTCTTTTTAAGTCGTGAGGAGGAGAGCGGCTGCGTGTAAATGTTTAGTGTGGATCCATACGCGCCTGGGCTTTCATGTTGACAGTGGTGCAGCCAGCTCTCTGCGCCAGCCTCAGCGTGATACCGGCAACAGCTCCCGCACTAATTATAACTAAACTAAAATAGTCAAATAAAAGGAGCTAGGTGCTCTGTGGGTACGGTGCAAGTCTTGTGAAGCTGAGAGCGTTTTTTTTCTGAGTGTTAAAAGTACACAATTAGAACAAAGGTGCGGCAAACTTTTTTTTTACAGTCTATTTTCAGTTTTTTGTTTGTTACCGCTTCTGTGTCGGAAGCGGAAATAATTGCACTAAGATTAAGTAGGTTAACTGTTGTTTTTGAAGAACATTTCCGCACAGAATTTATTCAGACAAAGCTTTTAACAAGTACAAAGGCACAAAGACTAAAAGAGTATTGAATATGCAAATAGGCACGGGACAATATTTGGCTTTAAAGTGAATTAGATAAACTTCCTCCTACTCTGCCTTTAAGTGTCATAGCAAGACCATGCTTATTTTCCTGCTTATCTTTTTAACCACATTTAAATATACAATGAATCAAATGAACATTTCAATAAACATGTGAACAACTCGCAACAATTTTAGTGACAGTTTCAGACATCTGTTATAGATTTTTAAGTCAGCTGTGAATTGAATGTCCTGTGTTTAAAAAAATGCTCACAAAGATAATAACTAATAAAGGTAATACACGTTTCTATGACGACAGCCCTGATCATAGAAGGACTGTACATACACTATTGATGTGGCAAATTTATGATCATAAACTTCTGAGCAGTTCACACTTTGGAGAGACGTATTGTGATTAGGAGTTTCATTTCAACTAATTGAGTTGTTTCAATAATCATCTCCTATTTTAGCCAGTCTCCAACAGTTCCTGTGAGACGTGGATCATGAAGCGCTTTGTGACTCTGTTCTTTGAAAGGCGTTACCTAAATGAAGATTACTTACTTAGAAATAACTTTTTTTTTTACTAACAGAAAGAGTCTTGTCATAGTAAACCTTTGTGAACTAATCAGACCACAACATGCTTTCTTATTTCTATTATAAAACACATTCTGCTCATCGTACTCTGAGTCACGTTTTGATGCTTTGGGCTGAGAGCTGATTGGCTGTGTGAGGGTTGTCCTTCCCTTTTTATATTTTCTGTCCGGAAAATCTTACCTAAAGATACATTCATGCAAAACTAGTGATAGAACCAACTGTTTGACCCAGGAACTTATTAGATGGATTCAATTACCTTTATTATGTGTTTTGAAAGTTAGGTACCTCAGCTTTAAATCTTGCTCTCAGTCTTCTAACCAGTGCCTGTGTGTGTGTTTGTGTGTGTGTGCCTTGCAGGAGGACTGGAGGAGCTGTCCGTGGCCCGCCGTCTGCCCAAAGCCTACAGCACTGGTTTTGTGGGCTGCATCAAGGACGTGGTGGTGGACGGAATAGAGCTCCATCTGGTGGAGGACGCCCTGAACAGCCCCCAAATACTACACTGTTCTGTCGCCAAATAAGCCCCAGCACAGACAAAACAATGAGAGAATCAAGTGACAAATTCAAGCTCCCACTCTCCCCTGCTCCCTCCATAGCGCCCGGTCTCCTGCTGTAATTATTTCTATTTTTGTATACTTTTCATTGCTTTTTATATGGGAAGATTTTTTTTTTTTTTTGGTATATATTTTTTTCCATTATCAGTCTTTTTTTTCAAACCGAAAGCAGGCATCTGTTCTAAAACCCCAACATCTTTTTCTCTCCCTAGCCTGCTTTTTATTTTTTATGTGTTTTTTTTGCTGGTTACTTGAACACTGGTGGACAGCGCTGACTATTCCCGCCTGGTCTTGGTGCCATATTTATCGTCCACATTCCCTCCAAGCATGGCCTTCGACGAGTATAGCCAGGCAACGTACATTCCCCTTCTCCTCCTCCTCCTCCTCCTCCTCTTCCTCCTCGATCCGGACTCAGACTCTACCAAACCCTGCGTTTGGAATATATCTGCGGGACTGTCAAGCTGCTATTGAGAGAAAAGCACCTGACGACATCATCGCCACATTGTCAAAAGATAATAATTCCAGCTCCTATCAAGAGGATTTAGTTTTGAAATATGACTAACACAGAGGGAGCGCCCCATTGTCATCACGTCATAAATAAATGTCTAAATATAGAGTATATTATAATACCAGGAACTGTGAATATGTCCAATGGCTTCTTCTCCTGTACTATTGTGTGTTCTGTTTTACAATCAGCAGGTGATGACCACTATAGATGCATGCACTTCTCCAATTTGGGTTATTTGATTTTTTGTTTTTTTGTTTTTTGGGGGGTAAAAAAATATATATATAAAAAAATGTCACTGTGTAATTTTCTAAAAACCTCTTCTATATAATTTGTGTGATTCAACAAATGTTTTTAGTATTCGGGAAAGGTCTGCAGGACGAGAGTGTTTCCACGTGTGACCTTAAGGAGGTGCTGAAGGCGGGAGGAAAAGCTCAAAAGGGACTATATAAGCGCTCCTTCGACATTGGACCGTCCTGTTTGCGTTCCAACTTCTCGGGCTGTTGTCAAATTCTAGAGAGACTGGTGTTTGTAAGCCATAACAGCCTGTTATAACGGAGCGAGTATCCCTTCAGTACAGTCGACTAACCCACTACTTACCTACCTACCTACCTACCGCATGGGTTTGTATCGTCTCAATCCGCTGGACCGATGCAAGCCGCCTCCGCAATAAGCTCTGACGGCTCAAAGACTTTGATTTTGATATGAAATACTTGGCAATATTCAAAATCATGATTGTTTTGTGGTTATTTTCCTTCTTTTTTCTTACATCCTTCTCACATTCTTTTTTCATGTACAGCCCTGCAATTTTTTTATTTTTTTTGTATGTAAATTTAGCAAAATGTGTGGTCTGTGGAGGTTTATGTTTTGTTTATTTTAGTAAGATACACTGGAACATGTCTGTCTTCTCACAGTGATGTGTAATCGGGGGAAGGGATAGCGCTAATGCTATAACAATATTGTGTGTTCTCAAAACTAGGGTTAAAATCAAAACACATGAAAACACCCTCTCTCTTAGAAATGATAATTTTCCCATTTCAGGTGGTATAAAAAACATACTATAAATAATAAACAGTAGAAATTAAGGGTGAAACCTTTTAATTGCCTTAACCCAGTCGCCTTAACTAAACAGGTGACTATGATCATATCTTTTCCTATAGCCAGCATTTAGCCTGATTCCTTCCACGTTATCTAATGAATTTGTAGTTGCAAACATACACAAAAAGTACAGGAGACAATGCAGATGTTGCACCTGGTTTTCTACAAAAAGAATCCTGTATTTACTCTTTTTGGGAGTCTGTTGTGTTATTTATGTCTCATGTGGATTATACCTCCATCTGTAAACTACTGTCCACAGCGCTGCCTCCTCATTGGCCGGCGCTCCAGTACCAGTGGCATGACCTGAACATTACTAACTTTATGACCTTTGTCTTGTGTTCCTACCACCATGAAATAAAATGTCGACCAAATGGACCGCATTGTAGTCTGCCGTCTTCATTCTGTATGTGTTCTATTCTGTGTGAATTTGGTAATGCTATAGTTTTTCTGGCGACAGTAGCTCAGTTGCCGACAGTAGCTCAGTTGGTAGAGCACTGGCCTTTGAGCCTGAAGGTCGTGGGTTCAAGCCCACCATGGGACCTTCTCCACCGACTCCCACTGATCACTGCTGTCGTTGTGTCCTTGGGCAAGACACTTAACCCTGCATTGCCTGAAGCCCCCGCTGAAAAATCAAGGCCGTATTGTCACTGACAGAGCAGCCGTCCTCCTGTGGACTCACCACCTGCAGAGGATCAGTGAGGGGCTGGTGCTAAGTGAATTGGGTGCAGCTCTGACTGCCACCCCCCTGACCCAGAAATGGATGAAGGGGAAGAAGATGGATGGATGGATGTTTTTCTGGTTCAATGTAATGTTTCCTGCAGCCCATGTTCCATTTAAATACTGCTTTATTTTTATTCTATCTTTTAAAAACTGTTCTACCCTCTACCTACCTCTGTATTCAGCAAGTGAATGCAGTCATAGAGTGTACTCCTTCTGGTCTAAGATCTTTTCCATCAAAAAATTATCTTTCCGAGTAAAAGCAACAAAAAACAAATGGAGAATGCTTACAAGGACAAAAAGAACTTGGTTAATTTCTTGACTCAAAAGTCCTTTTTACAACTAATTATTAAACGTATTTCTAAGAACACAATGAGAGTCTTTTCAAGCATCAGTAATTTAACACGTTTACGCAGAAAAATAGCTTTTCTGCTCGAAAAGGATAATTGAACAGTTTTTTTTTTTTTTTTTTTTTTTTTTACAAATTACAATATTGACCATGCAGCACCCTTCAGTATTTTATTCATTAAACTTCAGTTCTGTCTTTGTAGAACTGGAGTTAATGATTTCTTTCATAATTGAGTAGATAGATACTGTAGATAGACATTGTATTGATCCCCGTAGAAGAAATGTAGGTTTCTGTTAGCAGCAGAAGCACATCCATCCGAGAACAAATAAATAGATAATTCTAAGAGTAGCTAACAATAGTATTAAAATGCAGCAGAACTTCAGGTCACAGCAGCAGAGGGGGAGCAGCTGGTTCGGACCATTTTCTCTGCTCTGGTCCAGAGTAAAATGCTGTATCCTTTGTTATCATTTTTCAAAGAATTAGTATTCCTCCAGTGGATTCCTGCTTGGTCCGCTTTGTTCGGTCCGTGAATCTCTGCTCTGGTCTTGATCAGTGTAAAACCCTGAACACTGTACTGTTGTAACATTTACAGGTAAAAAAGAAGGGGAAAAAAACATTTTTAAAGCACAAAACAACAACTGTTTCAGAGCTACTTGGGACTTTCTGCCGTTTCAAGTACATTCAAAAGTATTATTATTATTTTGATTTATTGATTAGATATTTAGTCCCTGAAAGGTCAAGGAATGTGGGATTATTTCATAAAGTGATGCCCCTGGAGAACATACAGTACATTTATGTGTAACACCAAATACTTTGTAAACATATTTTAATTTTATTCTGCAGACATTAAATATTTATCAGAGTCAAAAAACCTCTCCTCAGTAAGTTTTAGTCTTACATAATTAGTTGTGTTGTGTCCTTGAGGAAGAGGCAAAATAGGATCGTTGAATAAAACTACAGTTATAGAAAGAGCCATAGAAATTCCCCAGTGTGTGACTTCTTGTTTCTCACATGGCAAGAAGATCATTCTGATTCTGATAAAAACTGACTTCACAGGCTCAAGCATTTGTGTCAAAAAAGTGCAACAGATTGTATTATTAGCTAAAACTGAAGGTGGATTGTGGGAGTACAGGGACAGGGCAGTGGAGGCAGCAGGGGTCTCGAGGAGCAGGGGGCTGTGCAGGAGAGAGGTAAGTATCAACAGGTGAAGGACGAATGACAAAAAAAAAAATATGATACAAAAAATAAGAAGTGAAAGGTTTGTTACACACACGATCAACTGACGGTGCGGTGACGAGTGGAGGAAGAGGCTACACTGAAAAAAGTGCAGCAGACCAGACTTTAATGTCAATTATTTTAAGTAATAACTATATACTTCATTTTTCATTATTTTATATTTTTCTTTGACAATTAAGTCACTAAAAAACATTATCATAGTGCCAATTTTATTGCTTTCAATTAAAATACTTTTGACCCATAAAAATGGTGCAATCCAAGGTCCTGGGTTTGTATCTTTGTCGGACAGGGCCTTTCAAAGTGGAGTTTGCATGTTCTTCCTGTGTGTCTGTGTAGATTTCCTCTGGGTGGAAGTTAAAATGTTGCTTTTAATGAACACAGAAGTGAAAAGCAAATTGATCACCGCTAAGTTATAGTTACAGTTATAGTGTTGCTTTCAAGGGACACAAAAATGTCCCTAAATCAATCACTTCAAAGTACTAGTTTTACATTTTGATAAGTTTTATTGCCTGATCCATCCATTTTCTTCCCCTTAATCCATTTCTGGGTCGGGGGGGTGGCCAGAGATGCCACCCAGTACACAGAGCACCAGCCCCTCACTGATCCTCCTGCAGGTGGTGAGTCCACAGGAGCTGAGATCTTTCAGCGGGGTCTTCAGTCAAAGTGGAGTTAAGTGTCTTGCCCAAGGACACAACGACAGCAGTCATCAGTGGGAGTCGTGAAGTAGGTCTTACGGTGGGCTCGAACCCACAACCTTCAGGCTCAAAGGCCAATACTCTACCAACTGAGCTACTGTCGCCCGATAATTGCCTGATAAAGAATTGATATTGACAGTACACACAAAGGTCAATGGAACCTTAATTTCTGATTTTTACAGTGTTAGCTGCTGCTGTTGATGATAAGCAGTGGAGCACCAGGTGTACAAGCAGGACCATCTCTGTCCAGCCCCACACAAACAGGAACAGGGAAAAGAGGGAGGAGGCACCAAACTCATGACATTTGTAACTTTCTTTAGTGCATTATGAAATTTGGGTTCCTCACCTACTTTCTCTATAACGCTGC